TTAACTGGAGGGAAGAGTTTCTGGGATCTGTCTACCTAGGCTGGCTTCTTAGATGCTTAGATCTCAGTCTCCAGAATAGATAGGGTTATAGGAATGTGCCACAGGCACATTGTGTCCAGAAACAGCTCCTTAAAGATACATTGTCAGAATCTAGCACAGCATGCCACACAGAAGTTCCTCGAGAGATATGTGCCCAATGACTGTTTTCACTTTTTCGTCTTTGCCTACAAACAAGCGTTAAACATGTTTAGAGAAATTCTCAAAGGAAGTTTTGGGGAAGACAAATGGCTTTGAAGTGTGGATTCTGATGGACGCCTCAACATGGTAAGAGCTGAAAGACAGATAGATACATGTGTGTGTGTGTGTATATATATATATATATATATAAACATATATATATATATGTTATTTCTGCCGTGGGCAGGGAAGTGTGTCTTTACACCCGAGCAGTTTTGACAGAACGACATCCACCGTGTAACAAGCAAGCCTTGTTAACAGGTCAGTTTCTGGACGCACCTTGGGCCCGCGGGACTGTCCCTGTGGTGGAGGAGGGGCAGAAACCCAGACCGAGGTGACTAACCCCCCTCACCCCCACTAAGTGCTGGAACCGAAGTCGTGCACTGCCTGTCAACGGCCAGGCTAACAGCGTGGACACAACATCCCTCTCATCCACAGAGGTTCGCGGCCGACCTGCAGCATCCTCTGGCCGGGTTTCCCGTGTTTCAGGGTAGTAAACACAAAAGCCAAGCCCACCCTTCGGTGACCCGGAGCTCACAAGGGATCAGGCTGGGGTCAGAGGGGACCTGGGAGGGCTGGGTGGGGGGCAGAGCCGCGCGGGGACCTGAAACGGGGTGGGCGCCCGGCGGAAGGCCTCAGCCAGGCGGACGGCAGGCTCAGCCCGGGGAAGTCAGGGCCGCTGGGCGGCCGGGCCCAAGCTTCCTCCACACACCCGACCAGCGCGGTGTGACGGCCTCGCTGGGCGAGCCGCGCGTCCGCCGGCGGAGGGAAGGAGGCCTGGCACGGCGGGGAGGGGACAGGCCGCGGAGCTCCCGGCCCGGCCCGCGCGCAGACCCCGCAGCCCACGCGGCGGCCGCGCTCCCGCCAGGACGGCCCCGCTTCCCAGCATTCCCCGCGCGCGGCACGTGCGCCATCCGGCACCCGGACCTTCGCGGCTGTCTGTTTAGATGCGGGTTTCGCCAGATTCTGGAGTCCGCACCCCTCAGGTTCCCCGGGGCCTGGAGCCTTTCGGCATCCGGGCTCCAGAGTCCTGCACTCGAGTCCCAGTGGATCCTGCAAGAGCGACGCGTTTGGCGGAGGGGAGCCACCCGCGCGTCCGCCGCACTCACCTCGCACGGCCTGTAGTGCGCAGCCGCGAGCTGCCTCAGTGGGCGGGGCGGTGGGCGGGGTGGGCGGGGAGAGGGGCTGGTGGGCGGGGCATTGCGGGAGGGCCTGGGCGGAGTCGGTGCTCTCCTGCCCGGCGCCAGAGTCAGCCCGACTGCAAATCCAAGAAGCATGTAGCTTTCGGTGTGGAATCCTGCTTTGCCTGGGGCTCGTCTCTAAGTCGGGGAGGGGGCCTTGGAGGAGGCCACTCTCTTGGCAAAGGTTAATTCCCCCTCATTTTAGGGAGATTGCCCCAACGGCACTGATACCCCACTTGGCTCTCCCATGTTGTCAGCCTAGTGGGCAGCGACGTCGATCGACGTGAGGAGACAAATCAGGGGCAGATTCATGCGTTCTTAGCAGTGTGGAGGGACCTGTGCGATGATTAATAGGTTTATATTCTTACACTTCCAGTACGACAGGTTTTACATTACACGGAAGCACACTTCATTTTTGAGTACACACATTCAGTATGATCAATTAAGGATCTAAGCAACTTTTCTCTACGTATGACTTAAAATTATTGAGGTATTAGTAGCCTAGTAATATAAGAAATCTCAGGCACAGTGAGGTTCGGTAACTTGCCTAAAAGTCCATCGTCTTGCCCGGCACCAGTGGCTCACGCCTGTAATCCTAGCCATTCAGAAGGCTGAGATCTGAGGATTGAGGTTCAAAGCCAGCTGGGGGCAGGAAGGTTCCTGGGACTCTTATCTCCAATAAACCACTCAGAAAACCGGAAGTAGTGCTGTGGCTCAAGGGGTAGAGCCTTGAGCTAAAGAGCTGAGGGACATCTCCCAGGCCCAGAGTTCAAGACTCATGATCGACAAGTCCATTGTATTTTAGTGGCTACAGAGTAGGTGGAATATATAAGTAAAGTATAAACTGTTTAATTCTGTATGGATTTTGTCAACTAGTTGGTAGTGAAATTTTATTTTAAAAATAGTAGTTTTTTTCTTATCAGCACAGAAACAATATCCAGATAAAATATACCTTTTCATATGTTTTTCTAAGTAGTGTTTAAAAAATAGCTCATTTCTATATTTAGGCAGTTTACAAGCAGTCTGGCTTTTTCTTAATCTTACAAAGCAGCTTATTTTTGAAATCCTTACGTTTTATCCAGGCTTATCCGTCAGTGAACAATCGTGCAGTCTGTTCAGGATTGTGATCAGTAAATGAGGCTAAAATTAAGATGAGGTAACTATTTTATGCTGCCATTGATATCTTTTCTACGTAGCTGAGGTTTTATTCTTCTTCAAACAAGAACTAAACCAGAAAGTCAGCTGCTCCCTGTCAGAAATGAAGGGAACAGGGAAAGCATTGTCTTCACAAACCACCATTTGAGAAGAACATTGGAAAATACTTTTGTAGCTCATTCTAAATACGCTTAACAATTCTCTGGTGCAATAAATATATTTTCTTTCTTTTTTATTTCTTTTTTAATATATTTTATTTCTTTGGTTAGATGTTCATTTTGAAAAAAATTTCAGCACTTGTATTTCTGGACACTAACAAATGTTATATTTGACTGGCCAATAATTGTGCATTAACATTCCTCAAGAGTAATACTGGGTATATGTGTAGTGATCTAGAGGCCCATTCCCTACCTAGATTGCAGATGTACCCAGTGATGCATTTCACTTAAAATAGTGGAATGAATACAGCCAGAAAATGTCTTAGGCATCTTGAATGTAATAATTAAAACTATGTGACAAACAGCAATATGTGAAGAACTAGACAACTGGAAGATAGGAACTTTGCATATTTATCCCATTGGTTTGTAGATTTTCATGTTTGTTTTTACATAAATTATATAGTCTTTGGGGAAATTCAGAAACAGAATCCAACTAAATTACTTTGCCAAATAATAGCTACAAATTGCCAACCACCTAAGATTTTAATCTGTGTTGTATTTTTAAAATATAATCGTATATTAAAGCATTCAAATCATTAAATAAACAATTAAAAATATATTTACAGGCTCTCTGTAACTAAATGGAGAAAGGTTAAATAATTACTTTAGCTCAAATTTGGACAGTATCCTAGAAAAATAGAATACTTGGAAAGTTTGAGAAAGTCATAGTAAGTGAAAAGAAAATTAAGTAAACAGAATTATTCTGCTCATGAGGAAATTGAGAATAGAGAAAGAATTTTCCTTTTAATCTTTTGCACTCAGAAGGGAGATATTTTTTCAGAATCTTAGGAGATTCACAACTGAAAACCAAAACCCATGTTACTATTAAATGGAAAATTATATTTTTCTTCACCTGCGTTAAATAATTTAAATAACTTTATGGTAAAACAAAAGGAACTACATTGGAAGTAATGCCCTATTTCACTGATTTCTCTTCAGTCAATTTCTGCAATTAAAGGAGTGTGAAATTTTCATATTTCCTGCCAAGGGCCTTTCTCTAAATGGTTAAAATTTCACAAAATACCCAACATAAAAACATGCAATGGGCTGACCTGCAAAGTGTATACTAATTATCTGAGCTTTATATACTCAACTAACATTTATTGAATACCCATTTAAGCTGATTTACTTGTTTAACCAAAGTTACTGAAGATCAAAGCTTTCATTCCATTTTTTTTCACTCATTAATATAACATCCAAACACACCTTGGGTCTGTAATTTGAGAGTCCACCTCCTACCTGCCATATTGTGGTTGTTCTTTTCTTTTTTTGTTATATTCTCTTTTCAGAATTCATACATCATGTTGGGTATACCTCCCTATTAATATTTGTTATCTTGGGTATTAACCAACCAATTTGCTATTACTTGGGTATGCACTCAGAGATGGAAGGATTGGGTGATTTCATACTTGTTTTTCAGTTTATATGGTTAATAAAGCATCTGGAACACGCAGTTGGACAATAGACATTTGATCATTAAAATAATTTATTATTGAAAAAAGCTATGAAGACTAAATCTTACCCACAAAATACTAGCTGCTATTGATGATTGATTGGAATGTGAATATTAGGCCCACAGATTGAGTGGGGTTCAGCTATTTTCCCTCTTTGGGACTCAAGATAATATACAAAATATTACAGACAAAAGAACTGAGTGGAGATAGGAAAAGGGCTCTTCCTGGGACTCCCAGTAAAGTGCTGACACTTTGATGTCCTCCCATAGGAGGACATGGTCCATGAAGTAGTCTGGCACTTGAATGACACTATGAAATAAATTATCCTTGAATTAATTACCTAGTTAAATAAAGAACATTTTCAATAAGAAAAGAGGGCCCAGTCCAGATAAAGTAGTTATGAAGCACATCCTTGTAGAAAAACATTTTTCCCAGCACATAAATGCCTGTGACTCTTATTTATGGCACCTAATCTTCATAAAATTTTGAACTCTTTCCTAGATGTAAAGCAGTCAGCTTTCAAAACTTCTTTAAGCCAGGAGACACAAGTGGTTCTCTCCCAGTTTAATATAATATACTACAACTCATATCCAAGAGTTTTAAAATAACATAATATGACTCTGATACAATTTTATACAGTAGAAAATCCACTTTGGGCTAGGGCTAGCAGAGTGTTTGCCTAGAATCTGCAAAATGCTGAATTTCATCCCAAGCACCACACACAATGAAAAGAATATTAGGGTAAAAGATCTTCTTTATACATATATCCCCCAATAAAACAAATTAAATATTATATACACAGTGGGAAATAAAACTCTACAATACATGTCAATATCATGGTTGTTTTCTAGGATGATTCTCCCAATGTTTCCTCCCAGGGATTTTCTTCTCTTTATCTGAGAGGATTCTGTGCAGGGGCTGCCTGTGGATCTTCCTCTCATGGAGCCCTCTTCTGAGTGTAGAGAAAAGGAAGTCTGGTCTATGTCAGTCTCGCTGTCATGGTAACAACCATCGAAGGCCATGGCTTGAACTGCATCTATATCGTACATTCCAGAAGTCTGTCCCCCCCAAAAAAGTGTCAGTAAGTCATAAACAAGGCCTTATGCATAAGTTATAGTAAAAATGTAAACCAAATTTAAAAAATCGTTTTTTTAAATGCTGGGAATGTTTTGTTCCTTAGAAAGAATTCTGGTTTTGCTCTTGGTGTCCAACTAAAATACGTTTTAGTAACAAATGACAAACATTTCTGACAAACAGTGAACCAACAAAGAGGTTTGTATTTATTTTTGTGAAATATTAAGGACACCGTAAACTTTAGTAACATATATCCTGTCACCGTCTCCTGACACAGTCCTGACCTGATAGATACTCATTTACGATACACAATTTTCTCCTTTGTTTCTGAGTAGGATGAGTGAGTAGCTTGCTATAAGTTTGTGAGTTCAAGTAGAATATGCTTATTCAAAATATCGACATAAGCCAAACAGATTTGGATTTCAGCTAATTTTTTCATCTTTAGAAAGAACAGGGAAGTGTGCCCAGTCTGTGTGCATTTTTTTAATCTTCTAAAGAAGAAAAATATAATCTAGTATTCCATTTATACTTGAATTAAAGATGGGTTAGGGAATGATTTCAGCTGCTCTTTTAAAATGCCAATTAGCCAAGCATTCCTAGTTTTGCTTTAAAATGATGCTATAATTTTTGCTATAAATTTTGCTATAAATGATGCTAACATAGCCCAAATAAAGAACATAAAATTGGTTTATTTTTCTGAAGGAGCAAATTCTCAGTGCTTTCTGGCTCCAGTGTCTGGTTGAGCCTAAACTGAACAATTTCTTTCAGGTTTTACTATGAGGGGAAAAGTGGTCAACACTAGGGTGAGGCAATGTCTCGCATGCAGCTGTTGAGTAATTGCTTTTCAAGGAAATAACATCAATTCCTGATTTTTTGGGAAGTAGAAAAATGAGCAAATATTGAGAGGCAACTCTAAATGGAATTATTCTGCACTCAACTTGGAGGTTGCAGAGCAAATTCTGCAATTGAAAACTTAGTATTTTTCTTAATTGAAAGGCCTGGGGACCCTGGTGGTCAGTGAACTGAACAGAGGAGCAATACTTTGAGCTATGCTATCCCTTTTTTACTTAGCTGTAGAATTTTTTTCACAACAAAATGACAAAATATCCAAGACTGAAATATGGACAAAATATTAAGACTGAATAATACCAGTAATATTAATAGTGAGTTCAATTGCAGATCTGATGATATAAAAACTTTTTTTTTTTTTGTCGGTCATGGGGCCTGAACTCTGGGCCTGAGCCCTGTCCTTCAGCTCTTCAGCTCAGGGCTACTACTTAACCATTTGAGCTACAGCACCACTTCTGGCTTTTTCTGCTTATGTGGTGCTGAGGAATCAAACCCAGGGCCTTATGCCTGCAAGGATAGCACTCTACCACTGAGCCACCTTCCATGCCCAAGTTGCACAGGTGGTTTCTAAGTCATCACACCAGCCATCCACTTTTTTATGTATTTGTTGGTGCTATGTTTAAAATCAAGACCTCACACTTGCTAGGATGGAGCCCTGCCCACACACCCAGCCCTTTTTGGAAGTAGTAACTTTTGAAGTAGAGTCTTACTTCCTGATAAGGTGTTGGCTTCCACCATGACCCATTTTCTTTTGGCTTTCCCTCTTAGTGAGATGATCGGAGTGTGGCACCACATCCATTTTCTTTCTTGAAAATGTTTTTTCCAGGCAGGCCTGGAATTACGACCTTCCTAATATCAGCTTCCCATGCAGCTGGAATTATACATGTACTTCACTAGGCCCAGCTATTGATCGAGAAAGCGTGTCAAGTATGTGCCCTGACTGAACTCAAACTGCAATTCCCCTTTACCTCTTCTTTCATCCAGTTTTTATTTGAACAAACACATCATCAGTGTGTTAAAGAAGGCAAATCTTTGAAAAATGAGTGTAATTTTCTGTCTCTGATTTTATCGTCTCAAATTATCTGTATAATTAAAGTTTTAGTCTATATTTAGGATTATGCTGCTATTTTTTTAAAAGTGTATAAATTAGTTCAATAGAAATAGATTTAGAACTGATATGGGGTTCGGTGTACTGGTCTATGACTATAATCCCAGCTACACAGAAGGTGGGGATTGAGAGGATCTGAGTTTGAGCCCAGCTGGGCAAAACATGTTAGCAGTAACCCATGTCCAATAACAAACCAAGTATAATGGCAGACATTTGTAATCTTAGATACATAGGAGGCATCAGTTGGAAAAGCATAGTTCAAGGCCCCACTTAAAAAAGCAGAGAGAAATAGAGTTGGAATGTGGCTTGAGTATTAGGGTATTTACCTTGGACTGCCAAAAAATAACTTATTTTCAATTTTCCACCAATGTCTACAAATAAGCACATAGCTAGGGCTTATTTTTTCTAGATAATAGTTCTGACTTTTTTAGACTGAGTACTAGATCTTGGAATTAGGAAATAAATTGAATAAGAGATCAGAAAAATAGCTTCCTTTCTCCATAGTGGATGGGGGTCAGTATGAGTGGTATCTTCCACTTCCTTGATCTTAGTGTCTGGTGGGGTTGGGATGTGTTTACCCTGGAATGGTAGAAATGGTGATGTGGGGAGGAGGTAGGTGATCAAGTGAAAGGATTGTTGCTTGGTTTAGATTTTCTTACTGAAGAACTTTATCGGCTATCCTCATTCTGCCTTTTCTCATCAGCTTTTCTCATTCTGCCTCAAATCATGTTCTGCTTCCTTCTGGGGGACAGGAACTGGCGTGTGTGACTCAGACCCCTTTATCTTCACTTTGGGATCTGTAGTAGTATCCAGGTCTCTCTTCTAAAATGGTATAAAAAGAACTGTACTACCTGGTGGAGTCATAAATTGTTTAGCTTGGGCAATAACCAAAGGAACATTTTTCAATTGAGTGATGAAAATTGGTGGTCCTCCTGCTTACAGACCTAAATGATGTTTGACAGCTTTATCCAAACAAAGTGATGTCATTGTTTCCATCTGTCTTGCTCTCCTTTTATTTATTTATTTTTTGGGGGTCTGGTCGTGGGGCCTGAACTCTGGGCCTGGACACTATCCCTCAGCTCTTCAGCTCAAGGCTAGCGCTCTACCACTTGAGCCACAGCGCCACTTCCAGCTTTTTTTTTCTGGGTATGTGGTGCTGAGGAATCAAACCCAGGGCATGCACGGCAAGCGCTCTACCACTGAGCTACCTTCTCAGCCCATTGCTCTCCTTTTTTTTTTTTTAAAGGAATATAAAACTATTTATTGACCACTGTTCACCATTATTTACAATAAAGTAAACAATATACAGTTGGGTAACATTCTGATTACTACAAAGTTGTTTCTCTGGCTTTTGTGGAACCAGTAACCCAATACTGAAAAAAATTGAACTTACATGTAAGGAATGAGTTGGGGTAAAGAAAAAGCATGCAGGTCAATAATTATAAAATTTTGATCATTTAGGCCAGCAGGTCCTAAATAGTTGAAATCCCTAACCAGTTGATTTTACATTTTCATGAGCTGAGACTTAGATCATGACCCATGAACTTTTAGTATACAGATTCCAATATTCTGTTAAGGAATGCTCACTACAGAAACTTTTAATGAAAGGAAATAAAAACGTCTTAGTTTTTTCATCTGGATGAGGAAAATTGTTGGTAGTGATAAATTTTTTCCTTTCAAGAAGTTTTGCAAACCTACTGCATTTGTCTATCTATGGCAGAGGCAGGAGGACCTAAAGTTTGAGGCTAGCCTGGCTACCTAGTAAGTTCAAAGCCAGCCTGCCATTGCTCTCCTTTTAACACTGGCTTCTAACTCAAATACTGAAAAGGGGTGTCACTAATGAGCCCGTGAGCTGGGAGGTATACTCTTCTTCTTTCTCCTCTCTCAAACATCCTCTCTCTTCAGAGGCCTCATATATCAGTCAGTCTGTTTATGATCCTAATGAACATTCTTATTCACACTGACTGTGAGTTCTTGACTCATAAGACCTTACTCATAAGAACTTACACTTGTATAGCACTTCACAGCTTACCAAGCTTTCTGATCAATTTTCACATTATTTGGCCTTTTTTTTTTCAGTTGTGGGCTTGAACTCTGGGCCTGGGCACTGTCCCTCAGCTCTTCAGCTCAAGGCTAGTGCTCTACCACTTGAGCCACAGCGCACTTCTGGTTTTCTGGTGGTTAATTGGAGATAAGAGTCTCATGGACTTTCCTGCCCGGGCTGGCTTTGAATTATGATTCTCAGATCTCAGCCTCCTGAGTAGCTAGGATTACAAGAGTGAGCCATCAGCGCCCAGCCTTATTTGGCTTTTAAAACAGCTTTATGAGGTACATCATTATCATTTTTCAAATATATATTTTGTAGCATGAAGATAAAAGTGGTGGAAGTCAGTTTGACATTACTTCTAACTCTAAATCACATCTTCATTTCATCCTAAAAATATCTGAATGGCAAGTAGAGCTTTTTTTTTTTTTTTGAGATAATGAAACCCTTACAGGAGGACATTTAGGCTGAGGATGGTGGTATATAACTATAACCCCAGTCGTTTGGAAGGGAGCTAAGAGGATCACAGTTGGAGGCCAGTTTGGGCAAAGTTAGTGCCAGATATTATCCTAAGAAAACAAACTTTAAAAACAAAAGGAAAAGGGGAAATGTGGGATTGTTTATTGGATGTAGACTTATTTCACCTTTGTGACACAAGGGCAATAAAAAACTGACCTATCAGGGTTCCTGTAAAAATTAAATGACAGGTATGTTAAGTACGTGGGATAATGCAAATATGTGATGATCATACCTTACACGTGAGCTATTGTTATTGCCTTCATCATCCTCAGCTACTTGAAAGGAAAGCCTCTGTAAAGCAGCCCCTTCTTTTCAAGGGTCCACTCAGCAGAGAGTAGCACATTGAGAGAAGCACCCCCCCACCTGGGTGCTCCTGATAAGGGTGGATGAGGATAAGAGGTAGCTAGACAGCACAGAACAGAGATTCAAGTTCAATAATAAATTGTCACCATCTTATAAACTTGGACTTGCTAAGAAATATGGACTTAACTCAAAGCCTCTAAGTCCTATCTGGATAGGATTTTAGAAGAGGATAATCTTCCCACATTGTAATGGGATCCAGTAGTCAAAGCAAGGCTGTACCTTCCTTCCGCTCTTGAACCTTTCCCACTCTTCCACCGTGGTAAGGTAATTCACAGCTGCATACTCGATGACTGACAGGAACACAAAGAGGGAGCTGACCCACAAGTACACGTCCACAGCCTTGACATAGGACACCTGAGGCATGGAAGTGCTCACACCAGTGACGATCGTGGACATGGTCAGCACTGTGGTGATTCCTGTCAATCAAAAAGAGCAACAAGCTCAGTAATACCGCCATTCAAGTTCCCAGATCTACTGCTAGATCATACCCGCTGGTGTGGTGCTATGGCAGTAGCAATGTGGTCAGCCAGTGGTGGGTGGTGAAAATCTCCACGTGGGCCTTGTGCACACAGCTGTCATTGGATTTTTATTTTCACCTCTGCTTCTCGCTTTCACCCCCATTTGCCCTTTCTTCATCTAAAGAGACAGAGTCAAATTATGTCAGCAGCTTTTCCTCAATGAGCTTTGCCTACCATCCCAGAGATGTAAAGAGGTGCTCAGTTAAAAAAATTATTGTTGGAAAGAAATCTCAAAGTTATTTTCTTTTTGGTATTTTTAATTTAAAAAATTATTTATTATAGTTACACGAGGAAGGCAATGAATACATTTCTTGTCAAGCATTGTTACCCCTCCTCTATTTGTCTACTATCCCTTCCCTCTCCCACCTCCCTCACTCCTCCCCCTGTTCCCCGGCCGAAGTTCTAAAGTTCATTTCCAATATACTGTCTTGTAGATATCATTGTTGCAATGGGTCATCCTGTGTCCTTGTTTAGCGTTTTGTTATTCCTCTTCCCCCTCCCTCCCCAATTACACAAATGTATATACAAGATTCAGGGTACCAAAATCAAGCACAGTGACAACAATGGAAAGACTCAAAAAAATCATATTAAGCAAAGTAAGCCAGACCCAAAGAAATAAAGGTCCCATGGTTTCCTTCATTTGCAATAATTAGTATACATCTAGGATAATTTTATCAGATGAACAGAAAAGCTATGTCCATATGACCATATAAGATGATGCTAAACAAACCCCGAGATATGGACACAAGAGGTCTTTCTTTATTGTTGTTGTTTTTAATATACTATGTGATATTTTTGTTTCTTTTGTTCTTCCCCCTATGGTATATCTCCTGTTGTTAAAGTTATTTTCATTAATCATTCCTATAGTTTAAGAATGGTCCTCATTAAGAAATGGTCTTTGTAACTACCTATAAGTCTTTCATGGGGCAGAAGAAACCTTGTGATCACTTCTTGAATGATCTTTATTACCTTTGAAGACTGTTATTCTCCAGATTAATCTTTCATAGTGAATCCCTATTATAGTTGTTCATAGAGAATATTCTAATATTCCAAGGCCATCATTATTCTCTTAGTCTCTTATTAATGAAATTGTTCATTTCGATTGAAATTCTGAGTGTATATGTGCTGGTTTTTACATGATTCACTAAAACCATTTGCTAAACCACTCTATTTTCCTCTGTCATATTTTACTTCCCCTCTCTTTCCTTCTTTTTCTTTCCTCAGCTTCTCATCCTGTTCTTTCATGGGCATCAGAGGTAGAGGGACTCCTTAGAATGATGGAGGAAAAATGGACTCAGAGTTCTTTAATATAATAAAGGTAACTCAGGATATTGGCAGGGTCCTGCCTGGAGAAAAAATATCATATTGTAAATATTTGGAATATTGTAAGTATTTGGAATAAATACTTGAAATATTTACAATATGACACATTGGCTGGAATGTTTTTATGTCTTAATTTCCAGCAGGGAGGGCCCAATGGAACCCTTAATGATTATTGCAAGTTGTAATGTGTCCAAACCAGCAGAAAAAGCTCCATGGCTTGCAGCTAAGTGTAGAGACACAGTATGGAGACAGCATTCACCAACAGATTTCCCTTGTGTATACAATAATTCTGTGAAGTTCTCCTGGGATGGTGCCCCATGTTAATCACAGTAGCAGCTCTTTAGAGCCACTCAGTTTGTAGAACCAAGAAAAACACAACCTGAAAATTTGAGTTACACAATGGAAGGACCCAGAATGTCACCTTGATTGAAATTCATAATAAGAAACATAAATACTACTCTAATGCTTAACATTAAACCCAGCTACTGTATCTTTGGCTTCCAGATTTCGTGTGGTAAAAGCTGCTATTTTCATATTCCAGGCTGTTTGCCCTCTTTGGCTCCAAAACACACTTGTTACATCAACATGGAGAGGTGAAGTTTTCGTAAACATTACAAGTACAGGTATCATGCACCTAGGTAAGTATTGGTCAGTGGCGTGTTGTGGCTAAGGAATATGAAATGAGAGTGGCTTAGTAATTGGCCCAAATTTTGTCTGGTGCAGGATTGGAATCTCTTTCTACAAGTAGTAATCCTATGCATTACACTCATGAACCTACTTCTCATTTGGGAAATGTAAAGGCAATTTCCTTTTTAAAAAATTGTAAATCAATCTCTGCACATGAAGAGTCTTGGAGGGAATGTGCTACATCATTTTGAGAAATACGTCAAGAGACAAAGGTAATTTATGCTTTTCAATAGGCATATGCTATTCAAGTCCAATCCCTTTCATACTTCACTGGTAGAAACCAAAGGAATCACAAACTAGCATTTCTATGCAGTAGTTTACCTCATAAGTTCAAAAAATTTGAGCTGCTCACTGGGTAGTGTGGTTCAAATCTGTAATCCCAGCTAGTCAGAAAGTAGAGTTTGGACTAGTGCCAGTGGCTCACACCTGTAATCCTAGCTACCCAGGAGGCTGAGATCTGAGGATCATGGTTCAAAGCCAACCCTGGCAGGAAAGTCCATGAGACTCCAGTTAACAAGGAAACAACCAGAAATGCTGCTATGGCTCAAAGTGGTAGAGCACTAGCCTTGAGCAAATGAGCTTAGCGACAAGTGCCCAGGTGAAGAAAGAAAGAAAGAAAGAAGGGAGGGAGGGAGGGAGGGAAAGAAAGAAAGAGTAGAGGTTGGGAAGACTATAGTTTTAGACTAGCCTAGGCAAAGATTAGTGAGAATTTAACAAGTTAGAGAAACTAACAAGTTTGGTGGCGGTAGTGCACACTACCTTTGGGGGAGGCATAGACAAGAGGATCATGGTTCATGATGCCCTGAGTGAAAATGCAAGACCCTATCTGAAAAATAAAGCAAGGGGCATAGCTTGGGGCATAGTTCAAGTTAATGTACCTGCTTAGCAGGTAACAGTATACCAGTACCGTTCTAATTGATTTTCTAAGATATGGAAAGTAGAGCAATATTCTTCAATAAACAGTAATATGGACATCGTGGATAGAGTAAGGGTACAGAACAAAGACATAACCTTTGTATTCAGAAAAGTCTCATCATGTATTTTGAATAAATGATTAATACAGTTAAAAAAGGAATTTCATTGTTTATATATCCCTAGGATGTTAAAAACTATCAGTCATTTTATTAAAAAAAAGGTTTTTGCATATAGTTTTATGTATTTTAAAAGCAGTATTCTGGATAAGCAATAATAATAACATTACTAAAACAGATGGGATGTAGGGAGGAGGAATGGTTGTCTAGGGGGAGTCAATGATGAGGAAACTGAAATATAAATTCCTAAAGCAGTAGAACTTGGATTCAGGGCTATTACAGCTACATTAAACACACTCATTATGTCTTGAGCCACCCCTTGGAAATACATTAATCTTGACAAACAGTATTCCTTCAAGATCCATTAAAGTTAACATCCCAATAAAGGAGTTTTGAATTATATGAAGAGACCATTTAGTTTAAAGAAAGGTCATGTGTTGGAATTAGAACATTATCTTCCCACCTACAGATAATGCTATGCATAGTTAGGAAAGTGTTATGAGAGATCATTTAGCCAGCGACCGTTTAACCATTCCACTCAGTTCCTCTGGGCCCCCACAGCTCCGCCATATTAACTTTTAACAACATGCATGAGGTGAGTTTAGGACACTCTGGGAAGAATTTCTCATGCTTGTGTTTCATTGGTCATTTGGGGCCAGGCATAAGGGAGATGTTCACTGGCCAGCACCACAGCAGCAGGCAGATAAGCACGGTTTGTGGTACCACTGAGTCTGCTCCCTTTTCAGTAGGAACCCTCTCTTGAAGGAAACAGGTATCTCTTCAAATGAATAACAACCATTTCCTTATAGGTTTAGGCAGAAAGGAAATGTGAAGTAATGTAAGCGAAAAGAAGATGAACTGAATATCCCAATCTCAATCTATGGACATTGACAACCGTATTCCCTCAAAGGTGCCAGACACCAGCATGTGTCATTTGAGGCCCTTCTGGTCTCTGTGATGGTTATGTAAATGGATTTGTTCAGAGATTGTACTGTTCCAAGTATGTGGTATGTCTTCTGTGAAGACATATATTTCTCATGCGTTGCTTCATGAGAAGACTTTGATGACCTTCTTCAGACACTAGTTTGCTAATTAAGACCACACTACTTAATACACAGTTTGGAGAATGGCATAATCCATGCACAGAGACCATACCTGAATGATAGAGACAAGGAAGGAAAGAGACAGGTAAATAGAAAAGAATGTATAATTCTAGTTATCCTTCCACAATTGTTCAAATAACCTTAAACAAATTTATTATCCCCTCACAAGCTCTCCTTTCCAAATCACATACAGGGAGAATATTTCTGTCACATCATACATTCAATTTGGAAGGGGGCTATCTTGTATGAGAATTGCCAAGTCAAAAGTGATATTTCTATAATGTTGAGGCTCTATTATAATTATTAAAATCAACAAAAGGTCAACACTAGAACCAGAGTAACTGTGTATTATGAAATAGACACTGGGCCCTGTGCTAGTCACTACAGGGTCTCAAAGATGGCAGCAGTGCTTCTTTTCCTTAAGGAACTAGTTACAGAAAAAGTATCCCTGCCTCGCAGCAGAACATTTAATAGAAGCGGTGTCTAAGGGATATCATGGGGTTCAGTGATGGGGAGACTATGTGTTGGAGCCATCAGCTGTGGACAGGTGGTAGGATTTTGACAGAGGAGACAGGTAGGAGAGGTAACCTAAAGAGAGGGGGAGCTAGAACAAATGTATACATAAGCAATTAGTCCTGGGATTTGAAAACACCGATTGTCCACATTACCTTAGTGTAAGTATATAGGGGCAGGGCAGGAAGATCTGGAAACATTATTGAATGATTTCAAAGTGAACTGAGTGTCCTGTGTTTCATCTGGCACCTGCAGAGTGTCTTGGATTCCAAGCTGAGAGTTCTTCAATGATACTCTGGGGTGAGATCTCCTTTGCATTTTGGAGATACTGTGATGGAAGATTGAACTCAACTGAGAAAAGCAGGGGATCAAACAGGCCATTTCAAGATCTAGACTATTAAAGGTGATTAAGTTATTATCTCATAAGGTGAAACTTCTCCCTATGTTTCAACCAAAACCAATTGCAAAAAATTGAAGAGGTGAAGAAAACGACCTGTTGTCTAAATACAAGATCTGAAACTATGAAATCATTAGAAGAAATATAAAGGAAAAACTTCAAGGCCAATATTGGTATAGGTAAAACTCAATTATAAAAAAAACCAAACAATTGCCAGGTGCTGATGGCTTATGCCTGTAATCCTAGCTATTCAGGAGGCTGAGATCTGAGGATCACAGTTCAAAGCCAGCCTGGGAGGAAAGTCCATGAGACTCTTATCTCCAATTAACCACCAGAAAGCCGGAAATGACACTATGGCTCAAGTGGTAGAATGCTAGACTGGTGCTGAAGAGCTGAAGAACAGCAACCAAGCCCAGAGTTCAAGCCTCACCACCACCACCACCACCATAACAACAAAACCCCCAAACAATTGATTATAAATGAGCAAGTATGTGAATGATTAGTATTCAAAGGAAGAAATTCTAATAATCAACTAATTTATGAAAAAGTGCTTAACAAGTGAACAAAATATAGAAGTAATTACTATTCCAAGGAAGAAAATGAAATGGTTAACTAGTTTATGAAAAAACACTCAACTTGATTAGTTATGAGAGAAATGCAAATCAAAACTACACTGAAAAATCACTCTACACTCATTTGAATATCTGTTTAAAAAGATTATTGTAAAAATAACAAATACCGGCAAGGATATAGAGAAATGGAACTCTGATATACTGTACATAGAACTGTAAATTGGTCTAGCCATTATGGAGAACAGTATGGAGTCTCATTGAGACACTAGAATATATCTACCATATGATCTGGCTAGTCCACTTTTGCTTATATATCCTGAGGAAATGAGATCCACAAATCAAAGATATATTTTTCTGCATGATTGTTGCTTTGTCACTCACAATAGACTAGATGCTCCTCAAAGAAGAATGAAATGTATATGTACACAGCGGAATAATATTTGACCATAAAAGCAATGATGTCCTATCAAATAATAGATAAAATGTAAATAGTAGCATAGATAGAACTGGAGGACACTGTGTTAGTGAAATAAATCAGACATAGACAAATTCTACATCTTCTATCATATGCACATGTTTAAAAGAAGTACACGAAAACACAAAACTGTAATTACTGGAGGCTGGGAAGCATGAGGGTGAGGAGGCAAAGTTGGCTAGTGGATACCCAAAGACATTCAATAGCACTCTACAGCATAGTGAGGGCTATAATTTACAATCCTATTTATGCTTTACAAATAAGTAGGAAATAACAGCTTGAAGACCTCAATCACACAGTAATGATAAGTAGGTAGAAATGTTATCTACTATGATCTGATTAATACATATTGTGCTTGTGTACTGAAATGCAGACATGAACACGATGTAGCATCCAGAAATTGAGTAGCACAATGTTTGGAAAGGCAAATCAAGCAAAGGGTAATGTATCTCTGGAAGCACTTGAAGGTTGTAGAAAGCAAAAGCTGGAGAATACAGTATTGTTTTAGGAATACTGGTGGTCTTATTTTAATAGAAATGGTAGAGGGATACTTTTGATTTGCATATTGCTTTACATAAATATGCATAGAAGTTTCCAAGCTCTAGGGGAATTTCAGCATGACTTAAATATAATATTTCTGGGTTCTCCAGTCATTTTAACCTCTGAGCACTTCTAGCTGTCATTTCACAGTATAAAAGCAGAGCAGTCAACTTAAGGAATCTGATTAAAAACCATGTTCATGAACCTTTAGAGACTGAGTGCCTTTCTCATCATTTCTCAGGATGGGAACATGCCCTCAGACTCCTGTTGGAAATATGCTACTCCCACCTTAGGGCTAGGGTCAGGACACAGATGCTCTGATGTGAAGACATGGTCCCAACAACTTAATTGCTCACTCAGATGATAGTTTTCCTTTGAAGATATGTAAGCCCCAAATGCTTGCAGATTGAGGCTTTTAATAGAGGAAAGAGGTGAACAAATTATTAATATTAATAAGTTATGTCTTTCAAATGTTCTTCTGAAGTATGCATATAATTTGTGAACATTAACTTTGAAATTATCTTTTCGGAGATGAATTGTGTGGTAATAACAATGATTGTGAAGCACTTATCACAATCTTCTCTCTAGATAGAGCATTACAGGTGAAAGAACAAAACCACAGGAAATGGGGGCACTCTGCCCTGAACCAGTCAAGAAGGCAAATGGGATTAACCCAGGTTCTCATCATGCATCATTTCATCACTTTGGAAGGATGCAATAAGTGCTAAGTGGGTCTAAAATGGTTCCATATATCAGTGTGTGTGTGTGTGTGTGTGTGTGTGTGTGTGTGTGTGTGTGTGTGTGACAGTGGCATTTAACATGCTAGACAGAGTAGATAATCACCTCTCTGTGGTGCTTTAATGAGCTGGAAATGTCTCTGCTCCTGAAATTTCTTGCCAGCTAACGTAGTATGGTACAAAAATCCCACTGTGGTTGGATCTAATTTTTGGCCCACTTCAATATTTATTAAGATACTGACAGTATAGTGTGGAATTAATTTGCTTCATGATGTAAGGGTTCATCATGCAAAGGTAAATGGAGTTGGCTGAATGAGATAGGGTTTCTTAAATGGGAAAAGCATTACTGCTTTAACCGAAGTCACTTTTGCTTCATAATCTGGCCTTCCGTGCTTATCATCATCATTTCGGTGCAGATCAGATGCCAGAGCCTTCATCCCTCAAGTCTAGGTTCGCAAGGAAAACATCTAATTATATGAATACATGAAGCTGGCAGGATAAACATCGTAGAACTGACATTCATCCCTGTCCATGCCAGCCCCACATTCTCATTTCTTCTCCATGTAGCATCCCATTTTATATAAAAAAATCTCTTCCCTGGACTCTCTCTCATTTTAGCATGTTACAAAGCCAAAAGGAAATCTTATTTACCCAAGGACACTCTTGCAGGAACAGCTCTTCTGTCAATCCAGAATGAAACCCAGGATAGCATCACCATCAGCATGGCTGGGAAGTAGGTTTGTAGCACGAAGAAGAAAATATGCCTCCTTAGCACAAAATTGATGAAAAGTCTATAGTACCAGCCTAGGAGAAAGAGACAGACTTCTTTAGAACAGGCTGGAAACACCACGCTAAGTGAAATTACACTTTCTTTAGATCTCCTAGCTCTTAGGAGAGACTAAATCTGTGTACCCAAGTCTGTTTACCCAGACCTTACCTAGGACCTATAGGAGCTTGGCATTCCATTAAAGTTTGCAAACAGCCTGAAGAATAGTCTGCTTAATTATTTGATTCAAAGATCTCCCTAACAATATGTGCTGTTTGCAAGAAGGGAAGTCTTTAATACATGACTGATGAAGAATATTGTATCCAATAAAGTATACATTAGCTCTAGTAATGATGAGAAATATTTTAATCTGAAAGGGAAATGGGCACAGTGCTCACCTGTTTGTTCCTACTATTTGGCAGTGGGGAGGTTTGTACAGTGGTACTGACAAAGTTGAAGGCAATGCCAAGAAAATAAGAGAGCACACTGTGGTTTAGCTATAAATGGGAACGAGGTTTCTATTTCTCACTTTTCTAATGAGAGTCAGTTACATAGTTTTTTCGTGTACAGATAATTTGAGGGTGTTGATTACAGTTGGCTTTGGTAGGCATGAAGAAAAAAATATTACAAATATTTTTGATGAAGCAAATACATTTCAACAGGATAGTAATCAGAGAAATACATTTGAGTTTGACTCTCAGATGATATTTAAAACTTCATGGCTAGTGTGAAGCACAGAAATTATATACTCACGAACTGAAATAAACATGAACTGACATCTAAGGACAGATCTGATTATCAATTTGATACCTGAACATCTAAGGACAGATCTGATTATCAATTTGATACCTGAACACCATTTCCTAAATGCTTTGCTCTTGCATTTTTCTATTCTTGGAGGCTATTGTAATGCTTTTCATTAAAATGTGCATATTTCAACAAATCCAAAAATGAAAAGTACTAAAATAAAATTGAAAAAAATCTCCAATCTATATCCATATATCCATTCCTCAGAGATACCTTTTGTTAACCTTTCTAGACTTTTTCACACACACACACACACACACACACACACACACACACACGTCCTTTCTTTAGTAACAAATTGGATGCAGGTTTTATAAGCTGTTATAAACCGCTTTTAATTTTTAAATATTTATGATAACTCCATCAGGCTGCCCAAATCTGCTCATTTGAACCAAATTCTATTTGATTGCATTTTTTTAGTAATCAAAATTGTACTTCTTGAAAATGCAATCATGCTTGAATATGAAGGCACTGTAAGTCTTTTTAAAATATGTAAAAACATCATGTGAGCAGTAGTATTTTTTCAATGCAAGTTTTTGTCTAGATCTTGACATTCCCTAAAACATGAGTGGAAGAAGGCTTTGTGTCCACTAATGCAGAGCCTGGTAGCACTCAGGAAGTTTGACAAGTACAGATAGAGAAATAGTGGAAACAGCTAAATGAATCAGGGTGAAGTTAGAATTTTAAAATGAAATTTCGCTTCACTGCTTTTTTTCTAAAGAGAATGCTGGAAGGTATGAAGTATATTTGTGGATACTTATATGTCTAAGCCTGAAGATATATCATTTCTAATATTATATATTTGTATATGTTCTGTGTAATATGACTTTAGGATTTCTGTTCCCTATGTATCATATTATATTACCATTAAACATTGCAAAGTTTTATTAACAATTTATAATGTGTCATAGTTATTTAATTAAAATAAGAATATGTTATGTTTTGTGTATTTTATTATTTATTACCTCCCTTCCTCCATGTCATGGCTTCTTCTCTTCCTTTCCTTCCCTCCCTCCCTCCCTCCCTCCTTTCCTTCCTTCCTTCCTTCCTTCCTTCCTTCCTTCCTTCCTTCCTTCCTTCCTTCCCTTTTTCTCCTTAGCTCTACTGGAGTTTGAACTCAGAGCCTTGCACCTATCAGGCAAGTACTGTCCCATTTAAGTCATACCTTCAGCCTCCCACATTTTTTATTACTTTAGTTACTTGAAGATAGAATCACATGGTTTTTCTCTGACTATTTTGCACCTCAGTCTCCTTACTTATGCTTTGTGCATAGCTGAGGTGACAGATGCACAATACCATGGCCAATTTATTGGTTGAGATGAGATCTTGTTAACTTTCTGTCGTGGCTCACCTTGTACTATGATCATTCCAATCTCCACCTGCCATGTAGCTGAGATTACAAGCATGAGCCATGGTGTCTACTGCATTCATTCAATTATGTAAGTATTGATTGGCTTTAATTAAAACTAAAATTTTACATTTAATTAATTGAATTTAATTAAGAACATTAAAATTACGATTAAATATATGTATATTTACTTATATAGAGAAACAAAAAAGGAAAAGGAAGAACAATAACAAGAACAATAGATCATAAGAATCAAATTCATGTCTAAATGGCAGTATTAGAGTATTAAACTCTTCTGAAATTATATACCATTGATCCAATTTGCTCTTGAGAATCTTCCATTTGTCAAGGATGTATCAGTGATCAAAAACATTAATGTATGAAGGTATCAAAAAAGACAATGGAATGATTAAAATGAATAGCATAATGAATAGCATAATTTGCTGAATCACAAGCAATATAGACACATTGTGGATGTACTAGAGAATATTTTCTGCATCTAAATATATAAAGAGCCTTTGGTCCCAGAAAGTCAATTAGTTTCTCTGAGAAGCTAACTGACTCATTCAGTTGATTTTTATTGAGCATCTATCATGCACTGGACACATTCCAGGATCTGCAAGAAAGTGGTAAACACAGCAAACCTCTTCATTATTACTTCTTTTCTTTTCTTTCCTTTGTTTTTTTCTTCTATTATTTATTTTTATTTATTTATTTACTCATTTATTTTTTTATTGTGAAAATACTGTACAGAGGGGTTACAATAATGGGCAAGATAATGAGTACATTTCTTACCAAGCATTGTTGCCTCTTCCTTTGTTCCCCTTATGATCCCTTCCCATCTCCCTCCTCCCTCTACCTGACCCTCCCCCTCCAAAGTTGTAAAGTTCGATTTCAACATAAGGACTTGTACATCTCATTGTTGCAATGGGTCCACTTGTATCCCTATTTAAACGATTTGTTTTGCCCCTTTCCCTCCACAAATTATACCAATATCAAATACAGTGAAAGCAGGGGTTATACCGTGGGAGAGGGACATACAAAGCAACAAAGAAATCATCTTATAAATATGCTAGAAACAATCGCCTGAAAGAAAAAAACATTTGGATACTTATCTTGGGGTTCATTTCACCTAACATCAACTTATCTGACCTTTTCTGCTTGTCTCAGACATATACTAGATATTGCAAATAAGGGAAACCATAGGAACTATGTTTCTTTGGGCCTGGTTTACTTCACTTAAGATAATTTTTCCAAAGCCTTCCAATTCCTAACAAATGGGGCAATGCCATTCTTTCTGATGGAGGCATAGAATTCCATTGTGTATATACCACATTTTCTTGATCCATTCATCGACTGAGGGGCATCTGGGTTGGTTCCATATCTTAGCTATGGTAAATAATGCTCATAGTTGTACTGGTAGCTTCAGTGTGGTCTTGTTTGTGATCATTTGGATAAATGCCCAAAAGTGGGATTGCTGGGTCATAGGGGAGCTCTATGTGGAGTCTTTTGAGGAATCTCCACACTGCTTTCCAAAGTGGTTGTACAAGTGTACACTCCCACCAACAATGCAGTAAGTTTCCCTTCTGTCCACATCCCCTCCAGCATCTATTGTTATTAGAGCTCTTGATTATAGCCATTTTAACTTGGGGTGAGGTGGTATCTCAATGTTGTTTTGATTTTCATTTCTTTTATGGCTTGAGAGGTTGAGCATTTCTTCATGTGTCTATTCTCTGCAGAGAAGTGTCTTTTTAAGTCTTTAGCCTAGTTATTTATTGGGCAGTTGTTTCTTTGAAGATTTGTTGTTGGGGGATTTAATTTTTTTGAGTTCCAGGTATATTTTAGATATGACACACTTGTCTGTTGTATGGCTAGTGAAGATCTTCTCTTACTCATTTATTTGAAAGTACTGAGGTTTGACTTTAGAGCTCAGCCATACTGACAGCTCTTTGTCCTGTTTCTATGAGGAACTCAGACAATAAAGCTAAGTGTGTACTTTAGGTAGCAGTAAGTGATCGGAAGACAAATGGAGACAGGAAATGGTGAGTAAAGAGGTCTATTTTAGAAATTGTGGCCAGGGAAGCATTGTTTAAAGAGATAACTGAACACAGGTGTAAATGACACACAGAGCTGGTGATAGGAAGCAGGGATAGGGGGAAATACTCTAGATAGAGGGAAGAGAAGATCAAAGAAGAGGCCTCGGGGATGTAGTGAGATAATCAAGGACAAGTAGAGGACAATTTAAGGACAACCAAGACGAGAAGAGGAGAGTCAGATGGAGGAACAGAGGCTTGGGTTGAGGGTGCAGCAGTAGGAAGGGGGCAAATCATCTTGGAGTGGTTGACTGCCATTCTAAGTGTGGTGAAGAAACGTATGGGATTTGAGTGGAAACAATTTTTATGTTTTCAAATATCACCATTATATTAAAAGTAGACTAACAGGGCAGAAAAGGGAAGAAGGCATCTAGATAGAGGTATCTGCATGATTGAGCAAGGATGTTTTGAGGGCAGCTCCCTTGAAATTGGGGAGATGTTGCTATTGGCCAAATGAGGCACCTGCTGGGAAACAGGGTTAGTCCTGTGATGTGGTTCTTGGCAAACAGTAGAAGCTCACTAACTATGAATAACTTGTCCACATAAGATGCTCTACCTAGCTGGGCACCAGTGGCTCACACCTGTAATCCTTGCTATTCAGGAGGCTGAGATCTGAGGATCATGGTTCAAAGCCAGCCTGGGTAGGAAACTCCATGAGACTCTTAGCTCCAATAAACCACTAGAAAACCGGAAGCAGTGCTGTGGCTCAAATGGTAGAGCGTTAGCCTTAAGCTGAAGAACTGAGGGACAGTGCCCAGGCCCAGAGTTCAAGCCCCACGACTACCACCACCATTACCAACAACAAAAAGATGCTGTACCTGTGCTGCTGTAGAATGACAATCCACTGGATGCACTGAATTCCTCAATGAAGAATTGGGAAAGGGAAATATGCTCTTCTGTATTTAAGGACTTGTTTCCATGTTTCCAGTACAGCATTAGATCTTCCTCATTGTAGGCATCTACAATAAGACAACATCATTCCTGCAGGTGTCACAACTCTTATACATTCCATAAAGGTCTATAATAACTATGTTTTGTATAGTGACTGGCTCAATAACATGTCTGTATTAAGTACTAAAAATGTTCGTGATCAGACTGATTAAACTTTCATACCAAAAGAAAAAAATATCTCCCAAATTTAGAGCCTAATGACTGACATAAAGTGGAAGCTTTTTTTTGTGGCAACGTGATGTGTGAAAACTCACCACCTAGCCCTCTCGGTGTGCATTTTTACAAAACATCAATCTAGCCCTCAGAAGGATGATAACAGCATGCCTCCGTTTGCTCAGGGCGGTGCCAGGCCTCAGGTCTCTTATAACTGTGTGCCTCTTTTAGATGAGAATACAAAATGAGTCAAGAAGACCACATTTTAAAATTGAAAAGTAGCACCAAATGTTTCTAATAGGTTCTGGAAGGAGTGTCTAGGCAGAAGGGAAGCATCTGGTGAGATGGCTCGAATTTTGTCATATTATGAAATGTGGTATCTTATGACAACTGCTGCTGGGTCAGCCCCATTGAAGGAACTCATTCAGATGCTTTTTGACAGGGCTTTGATGGGGGGGGGGTGGAGTCTATGACTAGAACTGTTTTTTTTTCTTTTGAGAAATCTATGTACACTTGGTGGATTGTGACTCTTCCAAACATATGGATTCCAGAGCTTTCTAACTGTGTCAGTCCATGTAATAACATTAGGGATATTCACCTTCTTAGACTACTGTTTCTTCATAACCATTAAGAAAACTGCAGTATATGTAATTATCAAAGCATTTTCTTCCTGAATCACTTTATTTCAGAGACAAACAGCCATTGTCCTTAGTAAAAACAGAAAGGCAAAGAAAATGAACAACTGCCTTGGAAATCTATCTATCTATCTATCTATCTATCTATCTATCTATCTATCTATCTATCTATCTATCTATCTATCTGTCTGTCTGTCTGTCTGTCTGTCTGTCTGTCTGTCTGTCTGTCTGTCTGTCTGTCTGTCTGTCTGTCTGTCTGTCTGTCTATCTAATCTATGTATCAATATGCTTAAATGCTTGTCAAGAGCATGTGTGCTATTTCTATGCTATATGTGATGGTAATGGAACATGCTCATCACGCAGAGAGACTTACAGCTTTCGAGTTCAAGGGAACAGTTTTGAGTGTCAAGAGGAAACCTGCTGAAATCCATAAAGCACATGGCAGAAACCGTTATCCTACAGAAGGAAGAAGAAAAGGAAACCTGCAGATCATTTAAACATAGGGCCAAATCAGCATGTATCATTGAAACTCCGTTATTATACTTCTGTGTTTTGTGCCTTTCAAGCATAATCGGAAACAGGCTTTACTATCTTTTGTGTGCCTTTAAAGGCTAATTGGAAACAGGCATTGTTCTTTGCTGTCCAAGTAATGAACAAGGAAACAAACTCTGAAAAGTTGGTGATTTGCTTAAGGCAGCATCCAGAATGAATTCCAGCTCTCATCGTTGCTTCCGGTCTCACCATTTCCAGATTGCTCACTTTTGAATGTTCTGACTGATGTTTTAGGAAATACACACTTCAAAGTGAGATGATTTTAAAGAGATTTAAATATAATCTGCTTTGAGGGAGATGTAAACTTAAATAGTCTCTAGTAATAACGAGTTGGGGTGGTGGAAATAAAACACTACAGGTAAAGGTTTCCTTTGCACAGCAAGTTTATTTGAGAAAACTCTCTATCCATCAGTGAGGGCAAAAGCCTGGAGCATGTTTAGCAACAGATCTAGGAGCACAATGTATAATTCAGATGTTATTAAGTCAAAAGGCTTGCATACTGATGGGGTTTCTGTTTTCCGAAATTTATATCTTCCTAGATTTTCCTGACTTCAGGCAGGGGCTTCTGTATTATGATCTTGCCTCAAAGGAAAAACTTTGGTGCCCATAATAGCAGATCAGAAGCTCCTAAAAGGCCCCCAAGCAAGTCTGTGAAGAACAAAGGCAGCAGATGCTTCTGCCCACAGTGCTTCTGAATTAATCCAAAGAGTGCAATCATTTTATCTTTAGTGGCCTTAATTCTACTGTCTATAGTCACACAACAAAAACATTAGGCTAGCATCATTTTGTGTAAACAAAACATAGTATGTTACCACTGCTAGAATCAATCTCTGATGTCTTTTGGCTAGGCTCCTTCATAGAACACATTGAGATCAATGACCAAATAGCTTACACAGCTGGACGATATCAAAACCAAGCCTTAAATAAGGTGATTTGTTTCTGGGATTGGGCTGGCTTTGCTGTTAGAATTGAGAATAGCTCTGCTGACTCTTTTTGATTGCTCTGAGTTTAGGGGTCTCCAAGACTACCTGAATAGCCAATGAACTGTAAAAAGACCTCAACAAAGTTTGCTGGGATTGGCAGCTTGACTCATTGATGCCTATATTACGATAGAAGGATCAAAATAATCAGTGGAAACAGAGCACAGTGCAAGGTACAGGAGCAAATAGGAACACACGTCTTCTCCTAGTGGAGTTACCCACACAGCACGTGCTTCATCATGCAAGCAGTGATGTGTGACATCACTTCATAGAGCATAGGGAAAGGTCCCTCACTCAGGCATTGATAACCACAGATTAAACTGAGAGGTTACAAGGTAGTTATGGTTAGTGGTTAGTCAGATGGCTGACCATAGTCTCTAGTGTCTCCAGAGATCAAATTGATATCACATAACTCAAAGCATCCACCGTATTATTTTGTAAACGAAAGACTCTCTGGTATGGCCCATGGACTCCAGATGAACAAAAGAAAATCTTTCAAGGGGCACAGTATCTCAAGGGATAAGGAGTTACTTCACAGGATCTTGGCAAAGGCCAAATGTCTCTCTAGAGTGTGCAAGTTAAGAAGAAAATCCAATAAGTCACTCCTTTACCAGTCATCCTCTCACCAAAACAAATTTAGAACAGTTGATTTTTTTGTTCAGATATTGCATTTCTGCCTTCAACTTGACTCCAGGACTGATACGTTCCATCTTACTCCAGGTTCAAAAGTTCTATTGAAAACAGCACTTGCCATTGATTGTATTAATAATAAAAAAATTGATGTTCTTTATGAAATGACTGGTAACCGCTTCGTACAAGGTATTTTTAAACAGCAAAAATTCGACATTGTTTTCTATTGCAGCTATAAGTCACTACAAACTCGGTGGTTGAAACAACAGCATTTTATTCTTACAAGATTCCAAAGTCTTGTCAGTATCACAGGTGCAATATTACAGTGTGAGCAAAGTCATGATCCCTCAGGAGTTCTAGGGGGCAAATCCATTAATCAAAGAATCAGCAAACTTTGGCTTGCGAATGCATTGAGTGCATCCTTCTGTGTGCATCAAATTCTCTTCTGCTTTTAAATGATAAGGATTATTATGACTGCACTTAAGTTTCCACCAGAGAATCCAGGAGAATGTCGCCTTTTAAAGATTTTAACTTAATCCCAACTGGGAGGACTCATATTTGCCCTATAGAGTAACCTCCTCAATTCCAGACATAAAGGCATAGATATATTTTGGGGTGTCATTTTTTTCAGCGTATTATACAATCTTTCTTAGAATCCTAGAACTTTGAAAAAGTTGAATTATTACAAGCCACTCACTATACATATGTCTCATTTGTCTAAAAGAAAATATAGAACATTAAAGATGAAGGGCTTTTATAGCCTAGTGTTAAAACAAGTATCTTAACTATAAAAGGAGAAAAAGAAAAAGGATGTGATGAAGTTAGTGTTAACTCAGATGATGACTATGCTTCCCATGGACACAGGAGGATATAGGGCAGGCAATTCCTTATTTAGTGAACACAAGAATCCACCATTGCTTGAGGGAAAGCAGGAATGGAATTGGAGTGGAGAATTAGCATCTCTAAAATAGTATGCTCCAGATTTTTGTAAGTCTCCCGAGTTTAGTTTCATCCTATTTATCCAAAGAACATTTCCTCAGAATGGAAATATTTATAGTAGGAAATAATTCTTTAAGATAGGTGTGTTAGAACTTGAGAAAATCACACCTTCCCTTTGTGTCCCAATATTTAGCATCATTAAATGGACATCAATGTCATGAGTTTAGTCTGAAGTTGGAACCACCAGCTTTGGTATAGATGACTGTAGTCTGAGAAAGCCAAGGCAGTAGAGAGCTTGTCCTTACCGGAGACTGAAGAGGACGCTCCCATCAGGGTGTACTCGAAGCATGATGTTTTCCATAGTTGTATCATGGATGAAAGATCTTTTAGAATGGACAAAAAAGATATCAGGCACCCAAATCTTTTCGATCAATCTATGATCAAAGGTCATGCTTTTGTTTGTCTTGCTAGGAAAGGACAGCCTCTCATCTTTCCAGTAGTGCCTGAGATAAAAAGTCATTGTAAAGTCCTATGCAGAAAGAAAAAGATTTCCATCAAATCAACAAGAATATGGCTCAACATCATCACTTCAATACTGTACATCCCAGGATTGATGGACATGGGTATTAATGACTTGAAGAGGAATGTTGGGAAAGAGAAGACAGGTTATTAATTAATTCTAATTATTATTTCTATGAAGGTATCCTTGAAAATTATTCTAGTATTTTGTTGTGGTTTTTAAATTCTAAATATTCCCCTTTAAAATTGTCTTTGTATTGATAATTATTTTTGTGCCAATCCTGAGACTCGAATTTGGGGCCTGAGCATTATCTCTGAGATTTTGTGCTCAAGGCTGGTGCTCTACCATTTAAGCCATACATCCATTTCCAATTTTTTGGTGCTTAATTGGAGGTAAGAGTCTCACACCCTTTCCTACCCAGGCATGCTTTGAACCACAATCCTCACATCCTGAGTAGCTAGTACTAATGCATATAATAGAGCTTGGGCAGTTATGCCCACTTTGTCACAGTATACTACAAGTGAGTCGCCAGTGAGTTGTAAGGTAGTTTGTTTTTTCTAGGTTTGAAATGGAAGCATATTGTATTATTCCTTGGGATTAGGCATGTTGTTGTTAGGCATGCATAATATGGCATGAATAAACTGAGTCTTTACCATATACAGTAAATTGTATGGGTTACTGCACGGACTGCCTTAATAAAAATATATTCTGACCTGGAGAGTTAGAAGAAAGTTGACTACAGTAAGAAATCACTTCTTTTAAGTTTTCTGGACAGTGGTTGGTGAAAAATGCTTTTTGAAAATACAGATGTTTCACTAAAAGATAAAACAACTCTGTTTTCTACTTCAAGAACATTCAAGGGAATAGACAAAGTTGTCTGAAAATTTTAGACTTATAAGATAAAAACCCCTTGTCCTCTATTGCTTGTTATTTATGTATAAATAAGATTAATATTATTTGAAACTTTTGGGAGGAGTTGATGAAACTTGGTCTAATCATCTATGGTTTTGTGTGTAATGGCCGTGGTTGTGATTCCATATTGCATATGTGATATTATTGTCCCGTGTATATGATTATTGCCAATTTGTTACATAGCTAAATATGATATTCTACAATGTTCCTTCTATGAAAAAACATTAGAAGGAAAGAGGGAAGTAGGAAAGAATTGAGTAATGCAGTTAGAGGTAGAAAGAAGTGATTAACAATACAAAATAACTACTCTTATTTAGTGAAGAAGGAAAGACTGATAACATAGAACATAACATGCTTTATTAAAATACCCAATGATTTGTCACTAGTGGATATATCTGTTCAGAAGAAAAGATAAATATCCCATGAAGAAACTTACCATGTCGACCTCTGAAATGCTGTCAATGCTTTCAACCTGGACATCTATACCTACTGGTACCGGGGATCCTTTAGAAAGAGAAAGCAGAGGAAAAAAAAAAGAGAAAGCAGAGAATTACCTTTCAGTGTTTTCAAATTAAAGATCCACTTATTACCAGTTGAATCAGTTGATACATATTTGACTGTTGAAAAGCATATGTATAAATAAATGTTATTTCAATAATTATTAATCTTTTGTTTGGGGACATCTCCACATTTTTTTCTAAAGTACAAAACTGGTACCTTTATTTTTATTTTTTTCTTATGCAAATTTTTTAGCTAATAGGGGTTTAAAAAGGAGAAATCTAAGAATATATAGAATTATGCACCTACTATGGCAAAGGTCATATTTTACAGTCAGGGAGTGTCAGAGAGTCATTGACTCTGGAAAATGTCAAACACCGTCTTTTTCATGAGTGCAGTATTTGGCAGACTAGACTCCCATGGATGTCTTTGTAGTGCTACACATGAACACCACAGACTTGGAAGTGTCCCTTTGCAGATCATCAGTCAGCAGCCACAGACTGCATTTTGGAAGAAGCAATACAAAAAAGTTCACTCTTAGGAAAGTAGATCACCATTCCTAGTCCTGTATTCCAGTGTTGATGATCAGGCTACTCCAAACAACAGCAACAACAAAAAGAAAGTGTAAAGAAAAACAATGAAGAGGAAAAAAAGGAAGGAAGGAAGGAAGGAAAGAAGGAAGGAAGAAAAATTATATTTTCTCTAATATGTGGAAATTAGGATTAGTTTGTAACTTTATAAGTAAATACTTTGGTTTGCAAGTGTACACAAATGTATTAACTGAAATATAGTAGAGTCATGGAAGAACTCAAACAGTGTAATTCTTTAGAAGGGCTAAATCAAAGTTCAACAAGATAAAACATCAGGAAATGGGTATTTGAACAGGGTGGAGTGCGGTCACAGGCAAGATGGTAAACAAAGGAAGAAAAGAAGGAGGGGGAGAATGCAGAAAACAAATTTTATGTATATTCTACAAAATTAAGAGAAGTGGGGAAGGGGATGGGAGGGATGGGTGAGAATATTGAAAGGGTGACGTTGATCAAGACACATGGTATTCATAACCTGCTTTGCTGACTGGCAACTCCCTTCAGAACTACTGAAGAAAAATCAAAATAGAAATAAAAAAATAACCACTGATCATGTATAGATTTTGTTATCATCAATCCTCTAACAATACACTATGATAAATATTTATATTGTCTTTACATTGTATTAGGATTTTATAATTAATGAAGATATGGTTTAAAGTATTCGGGAGAGTACAGACACAATGTGCGTATGTTGCATGTAAATATTGTGTCATTTCATGTAAAAGACTCCCACCTACAGGGTATAGTGATTGTCCTGGAGCCAACATCTTTAGGATCCAGAACTGTAACTGTAACTGTAATTGGCTGGTGGCTTTTTCTGCTTGCCTGGGGCAGTCTAATAGGACCATTTTTAAAGTATATATCCATGTTATTGCACATCAGCAAGCACTGGAACCATAGGGGTTTTGAAGGCTGGTTTGACGGTGGAGTGAATGCTAATGGCTTTTCCATTAGAACTGAATTTCGGAGATACAGCTGGAGATGTGGTTCAACTGCTAGAGGACCTGCCTAGTGTTATAAGACCTTGAGTTCACATCCAGTACGACGACCACCACCACCACTATTGTGTGTATAAAGAAAGAAATGCATTTTTGGCATTGATTTATTCCTTTCTTCCTCCAGATAATCCGGTTCTTGTGGGATGAGCGATTTCGCTCTAAAGCACTATGTGTGTCTTCAGTGTGGCTGGTCTGCCTGCTTGTCAGGGCTCCAAGGTGACTTCCCTCTTGCTCTAAGCACTTGTGCTCTGGCATTCTTGCTGGATAGAGTGGGGGAAGACAGGAATGCAAGGGCAAGGTGAAGAAGCTAAAATTTTGGATTCTATGAAAACAAAGGTAATTCTTCTGACAGCTGAGGAGGTGAGTCAGACATGTTGATGTTAGATGTGATGAAAAAAAATCTGCAGCTGTATAAGCCTGAGGCACAGCCAAAAGTCTGCACATCTCAACTCTTCCATACTTCAGTTTGTTAAGTTGTAAAACAGAAGGGATAATGTATGCAACCTTCCTTAGAAGGCTGCTGTGGGAGCCCACCAGGGAATGTATCCAAACCCCAATTAAATCCTCAACAACGAACTTTTCACTACCTATTGTTCTGTAATAAGTAATAGCAGCCTATCCAATAACTTTATAAATACTTTTTATTAATTATAGCTAAGATACTTAGTATAATAAGATTTAAATTACTCTTAACCTTTCTGATCATGGAATTAATTTCCTGAGATTACTAACTAGGTAGTAGCATTTATAAACATACATATTTATATAAAGATATAGCATCTGTCTGAATTTTTTATGCAGGCCGGAATAAAGAGGGCTAAATAGAAGTTATATATCTTCCTTTTCCAGTACATTTTAAATGTATTATAAACTGTGATTATTATACTTGTGATTATTATCATCATTTTGATAGGTAGGTAGAACTGGCTTTAGCTGCCATGAGGGAACTTACTCTCAAAGAAGACTATATTACACTTTCCTGAAATCCAAAACTAGTTAGTGACAAGAATATTCCCAGGTCCTTACAACTTTTTCTCTTGTATGACAGGCAGAGATTGAACAAACAGCTTTTATAGCTTGAGATTGTGTCTTAGCTTCCTAGTCAATTTCTAGAGGCTGAATTGATTTCACTTTGATGAAAGAAAGAAATGATCATGAATAAGACTCTAACAAAAAGCCCTTACTTATGGGAGAAGGAATGGGTAGGGAAAACATAAATACAGAAAATGAGCTGCAATTTATTACCCAAGTTAAACAAAAAGCTCCCCTAAATTTATCTCCTCCTGTTTCTACATAATGAGTCAATTAATCTTCTAATGCTTTATAAAAGTAAAAAACACTACAGTAGCAGCTGGTTTTAATGTTAAAGCTAATTAGGAAAACACATTAAGTCAACAGAAGTGCTGAAGTTACATTTAGCTCAGAGGGAAGAAGTATGTTCATGAGCTGATGTTATGGACAAGTCTAAAGAGAAGAATGATAAACAAAGGCCTGTCTTTTAAATCCTGCAGTCTGATTTTCAAAGCAATCTGGCCTTTGAGAGGAAAGAGAAATGGATCAGAGTCTAAGGTTCTGCTTTGATCAAGACAGACAAGAGAAGGTTCAGGATCACAGAGCTGGTTGGAAAAATTTCCTCATTGTGAGATGACTTTCCACCTGTCACTACTTTTTTTTGGTCACTGTGTTTTTCCCCTTTGGGTGCCAGTTTTGGGTCTTGAACTCAGGGCCTCTTGCTCTTAGTTGATTTGCTTGTTCAAGGAAGACACTCTACCACTTGAACCATAGCTCCAATTCTGGCTTTTTGTTGGGTAAGTGGAGATAAAGAACCTCACAGGGTTTTGGCCCGGGTTGGCTTCAAATCACAATTCTCAGATGTCTGCCTCCTGAAAAACTAGGATTGCAGGCATGATCTACCAGCACCTAGCTCAACTGCACTTACAGCTTCATAAAGGAGACTCAGGGGAAAATCAGTTTTAAAAAATGTATGTATCTCTAACATATTAAGCAAAGGGTAAGAAAAGAAAAAAATAGGATCAACTTTATATTTTCCTAGTCTGGGCATGATACAGGAACAGGAGAATGAAGACAAAGTGTTTTAGATTAAAAGAAAAGAAGAGATTAATAAAAGGCCAGTGATTAGCAATCTGCAGCAGTGGCTGTCGATTGTCACATGCATGCCAGCCACACGGGGATTATGTCACAATGCAGATTTGTTCTCAGCAGCCCTGAGCTGGGGCATGAGCTTCTGAACTTACATTAACTCTCAGGCGGTTCTACAGATGATTCAACTTCTTTGAGTGATGAGGTGTCACTGGGTTGTTTATTTCAAGGTCCACGTTTCAAGAACAGTCATTTTTCTTTCACTCTTTCTGACTTTCAGTGGTCTAAAATAATCCCTATAAAAACCTTTGCTTTTCACTAGAAAGCACTTTAGCTGAGGAGCCCAACCTCATAGGAATGAAGGCTTTTTGCCTGTTGAAATGAGTCTGTTGAATTGCGCCTCCTGAGACTCCATTCCCGTGCAGGTGCCGCCCCCTCGTGGCCATCAAGACCCATGCTGGATAAGTTTAACCCAAATACTGCCACAAAATGGGAGGAAAAATTTGGAAAGCATTTAAAAAAAATCATAGAAACCAAGATAATAGTAGTTGTAGCAACTTATTTAACATTTAGGCTTCTTTCTCTTACATGGTTGCTTCAGGGATTAAACATTTTTTGGGAAAATAAAGATGATTAGTATGAGGAAATATTAATATGAGTAGAGGAGAAAAGAAAAAGAAATAGGGTCTCTAAAGGGGAGAAAAATGATAACAGTGCTAAACCTTCTTTCAAGCGCTTCTAAAATCTTAATTTAGATTTCAGTAAGCAAGAATAAGCTCACTAAGATTTTAACCTAATGTTAGATGATCAAATGTAATATGATGATTCTCAAAATGGGATCTTCAGAGAAGGCAGCAGTAGCAGCATCGGTGAAAATTGTAGAAATGAAATTTGTGGGCCCCCATCTCAATCAAGTGGATCAGAAATCCTGTGAGAGAGGCTGAGTAACCCCCCTGCCTATTAAAATGTGATTCTGATGCTTAGAAAGTTTGATCGATTAAGATCAGGTCATTAGAAACTGTAAGACTGTGGGTTCCCAGGAGATGGAAAAAAGAAAAGAAAACAGAACCAAAAGAAAACAAAACAAAATCAGCCTCTATCAAAAGGACTCTGAATTCAAGTTAGTTCTCCCTGTATTTGTATCCTGATGTGCTTTCCCTTGGCTGTAACTTTGACGGGACAAGAGTGTGATGTTTCCCCACCTCATTTTGAGTAGTTATGACAGAACCCTGCTTCTCACCCTCATCTTCAATTTCCTCGTCTCCACATCCCTAGGATTCTGCACTGTTTCATGCATCCAGGGAAATGGGAGACTTCGATTGAGAAAAGGATGATCTGGATTATTTAACAGGTAGACTTTTTCCCCCAGATCCTGAAAATTCCTAACAAACTGAAGGGAAGATTTGGCCCAACCGTGTGCCTGGGGCCCAACCGTGTGCTTCTCCTCTGGGCTTCTCCCATCCTCCTTACTTGCCACTGTATCTTGCTTTGGGAAAATCTCCTTTCTTTCAGCCTCAGGTTTCTCACCTGACAGTTAAGAGTCACAGCATTTCCTGTTTCCTAGTCACTGTGAAGGTGGAATAATGTAGTGCATTATAAGACTAAGTATAGAGCCAGTCTAATATGTTTTGATTAATTTCAATTTTTTAAGCAGTGAAGAGAAACAAACACAATTCAATCAGTTCAGAAGAATTGGTTCATAGGGAGCTATCGCTTTTGATGGATTGTGGGTTTTCTATGAAAGCCCAGCACTCCAGCCCATAAGAATAACCTATAATGTCATATAATCCAATTTATAGGTTGTAGTGGAAAAATTATTTGTTATATAGGTAAGATGCATATATTCAATTTACTGAACGCATTCACAGTGTGAAAAGTACAATAATAAGTTTGAAGATGAATCAAAAATAAAGTTTCTATTATTTTCATTCAAGAGGAATAAAAGGTTTCTTTTGATACTGAGATTTGAACTTAGATTTCTGTTCATTAAGCAAGTGTTTTAACACTTGAGATAAACAGTTCTTTTATTGTAGTTAATTTTTCTGAGAGGGTCTTCCATTTTTTTATCAGGACTTGCCTCAGACCATCTCCCTCTTCTTCATATCCTGGATACACACTTGAAATACTGCTAGCTATTTAAAAAAACTGTTGGTCTTCACTCATGCTTTATTCTAATTGTTATTAAAACCCATCTCTGTCTTTACAGAACATGTTTAACTAGAGTTTTATAAAGAGACTACTCACCTCCAAATCCAGGTCTCATTGCAAAATCATGGTCCTCTATATGGAGAAGTTGTTCATGTTTCAGAGGCCATATTTTGGTACTGTCATCTTTGTTCATTCTACTTTCTTGCTTGCTGTCCCATCCAAAGGGAGAAAAGAAAGCGTTTCAGAGGTATATTCTACCTGTTTTCCACATAGCACGTTCAGAAACACACACACACACACACACACACACTTTTTTCTCACTTCATATTGTCAAAGACCTGCCACTAATGGCTCTTTGTTATATAAGGGTAAGGTAAGGAAAGATAAACAGAATTTGGGAGAGACTTGCAGAAGACACACAGTATGGCGTTAGTTCACATGCAAGCAATGTTTCTCAGAATATGGTTTTTAGACTTAGAAAATTCCAATTATCTGGGGGACGGTGATCAAAATTCAGATTCATGGACTCCAGTACACTCAATGAGCCTCTAAGGAATCACAGCCTGGCGATATCGCATGCCTTGTGAAGGTGGCTTGTGTAAGTCACCTTCATGAGTCTAGGGATCACTGAGGTTGAAAAATCAAACATGATGAAATTGTAAGCTGATGCAAAGAGTGTTTCCAAGAGAAAAATAAGAGAGCAAGAGAAGACTGGAGTCAGGATGCCCATCAGCGGTTCTAGGCCTTACAGGTCAGTGACATTTGGACCAATGGAAGCCAAGTTGTGAAGGAGGCAAAGTCTGTGTCACCTATAGCTCTCCATGGTGAAGGGAAATGGGAAGTGCCTTTCTGTACTTATCCCAAAGAGAGAACAGCCCTGTCTGCCCCTGTAATTGTGGACTTTGTCCAGTGCTGTGCTTCTTAGAGTCATTTTCTTCCCTGAGCCACCTCTTTTCCAGAGGCATTACAGGTGTGGAGACTGAAGGTATGAGAAAACCCTTCCTTGGTGTGTGGTACGCCATACACCAGATCCTGACTAGAAAAATGTGCTTGTCGTAGTCACCATTATCTTGATCAGCAGCATCAGTAACAACAAAACCCTGAGGAGTCAAACTTGGTAAATTCTTGTCACTCGGGATACCTGGGATGCCTTTGCATTTTCAATTTGAATTTTAACAAAACACTAATCAAAGGAATTTCTTAACTCAATAAGGAGACTTGGATGGGGAGATTTTCAGGTCCTGAAACAGCTTAGATCACTCTGTATGGTCCAAGCCCCAGAGGTTTAGACATGTATGTCTTCCAGTGATAGAAATAGAGACGTTGGGATAAGACAATGAGTTTGATTCAAAACATGTTAAACCATTATGTATTTTAAGTTATTGAACTACTTCCAAGGAACAAGAATTATAGAAACATAATTCTAAAAATCTAGAATGCACTATTTATTAAAAAGCAATAGCACACAGCTTTTACTAAGTACCTACTCCATTTAAGACAACCTACCAGATGATTTGTAAATATGATCTTTTCTGGCATACATCCAAAGCATTTGGACTTCTGGGCTCCATGCCCAGAGTTTCTGATTCAGTAGGTCTTAGCATATGAAAATTTGCATTTTTAACAATTTCTCAAGAGACCCACTGCTATAGAAAATAATCTACATTTAATGAAAGTGAGCTACTTACTTAAAAAAGAAAAATAGTAATGTAACCTTGCGTGAAAATTATTGTAATAATTTTTTTTTGTCAATCATGGGGCCTGAACTCTGGGCCTGGGTGCTGTCCCTCAGCTCTTCAGCACTCTACCACTGGAGCCATAGTTCCACTTCTGGCTTTTTCTGCTTATGTGGTGCTGAGGAATTGAACACAGGGCCTTATGCATGCAAGGCAAGCACTCTACCACTGAGCCACCTTTCAAGCCCTGTAATAATTTTTAATAAAACTTTGTAATAATATTATAATTCAACTAAATGACAAGTCATTTGTTTTGGAAGTCTGAACCTCAATGATATCAAACAAAGGAATATCAGTTGATGGGAATGTGTTACACCAGTATTCTTAATTTTTGTCTTTGTCCACAAAGAACTGTGAATATCATTTGAGAAACAGGAGGTGTACATCTTGGTAATTGGTATGATTTTTCCCGTTAGACTTTGTCCATCTAGGTTCAGACAAAGGCCATATTCCTCTGGCCCTCCTCCTCAGTAGCAGAAATGCCACCCTAATTTTGTGACTAAGAAATCAGGGCATTGGCAAGTTGGAATGGATAGATTTTGAGCAATCTCAGGGGCCTAAGCAGGTCACTGTGAGGCAAAAAGAAAATTGCTAGAACTGGGAGAGGAAAAACACACCTAACTCATTCTGATTCACGGTAGTTTTAATAATGAAATGGAAATCCATCATTATAACAGACATTTCACTGTTTGCTTCACAGAACTTCTTTGTATGTTTTATATATTTGATTAAACCATTGGATCAGAACTGAACTTGAAAACAACTAGGGCTGACATGAGCTGGATAAAACTAATTGGCATACTTAAAGTTATTTAATTGAAAGGTTAACAGTGAAAATGAAATGAAAACCATGACTCCCATTTTCTACTTGTTAAATGGGCAAAAGACATGGAGTAATGTCAAACCTCCGTGCTGATACGCGTACAGTGATGGAGGAGCATTTGTACTTCACATGTAGAAGAATAAATATTGGTAAACCTGTCTAGAAACTCATCTCAGAAATCACATGATACTTTATATGCTTTGACTTAGTTATTCCACTCCAGGAAAATTACAGTTTTCTTAGGAAATGAAAAAATATGTGAAGATATTTATTGCTCATATTAAAGCTGTGCAATGTTGAAAATAAATGCTCACTATTAACAGTTCTCATTCAAAATAATAATATAATGATTAAAATTCTATCATGGTATCGATGAAGCAGTGTGGCAACTGTTCTCATTACCTGACTCATATAACTGTAACTCCTTTATATATCACCTTTACAATAAAGATTTTTAAAAAAGAAAATAGGAAACAATTTCTATGCTATAATTTTAAATTAAAAATAGAATTGATAAATAAATGATTGGCTCTTATCAATCACAAAAAATAGAATTGATATAATTAAAGCAGTGAGTTGTAAGTATTTACTACCTTTGCTTTAAAATAGTCTACTTAGAGCTGAGCGCCAGTAGCTCATGCTAGTAATCCTAACTACTCAGGAGGCTGAGATCTGAGGATCGCAGTTCAAAGCCAGCTGGGGCAGGAAAGGCTGTGAGACTATAATCTCCAATTAACTACGAGAAAACTGGAAGTGGTGCTGTGACTCAAAGTGGTAGAGGGCTTGCCTTGAGCACAAAATTCAGGAACAGTGCCAAGGCCCAGAATTCAAAGACCAGACCTGTCCCCACCAAAAAAAGTCTACTTAAATTATGGTATTTAATTTTTAATTTTTTTGGAAAGTATCAGCTCTAGTGGGCCAGTGTCATGAATGAGCTCCGATGACAATCTTTCCTCTCCTCATCTAAACAACTCCTGAAAACGACTGGAAATATCTACTTTGTAAATGATAGATGAAATTTTAATGATGTTATTTATTCATTTATATAGTGGTGGGGCTTGAGCTCAGGGCCTGGGTAGTGTCCCTGAGCCTCCTTGTGTTCAAGGTTAACGCTCCACCATTTGAGCCATAGTGCCACTTCCAGTTTTTGAGTGGTTAATTGGAGATAAGAGTCTCACAGGGACTTTTCTGCCCAGCCTGACTTTGAACTGTGAGCCTCACATCTCAGCCTCCTTAAAATAGCTAGGATTACAGGCATGAGCCATTGGTGCCCAGCTAATGATATTATTGAAAACAATGTTTTAAAGGTGTTACTAAAGAATTATTAAAAATAACATTTTTAAAGCAAGCTAACACATTTCCTGAAAACTTGACATTTGACTCTCATATGGAGATTTAAGCATAGTGTAGCACTCTGCTAATAGTTCTTTTGGTCAGTGTGGTGTTCCTGCAGCAACCTTCCCCAAACCAGCACTGAATAGAAAAGTCTCCCAATACAAGGGGTGAAAGAATGAATAAATATTCATTGAGGTTCTTTCTCTGTTCTTCTTTGTACCACTGGCAGTCTGAATCTTTCCTAGCTAAAGCAAGGACATTTCTACTTGCCAAAACTAATCAGTCATATTCCTCTTCTCTTTGTCTTTAAGAAACAATGAAAAAGGGCCATCAGATTAAGAACATGGAAGCCCACAATACCAGCATCAGGAAACAGGTATATGCAAGGGGTGGGACCAAGGGGAGAGAAGGAGACAAATGAAGCAGGGAAAGGGGGAAGAATGCAGTGAAGAATTCACTGTGTTTACCACAACATTAAGAAAAGTAAGGGAAAGAGTAGGTTGCAGGGGGTGACACTGATCAAGATGCATGGCATCCATAAACTGCTTTGTTAAATGGCAACTGCTTTGTACAACTACTTAAAGATAATTAAAAATTTAAAGGAAAAAAAGAACATGAACTATCGTAAGAAAACGGAGGCTATATTCTGCATAAACATAGTCAATGCCGAGGCATTTAAGGGCCTGGTTTTATGAAAACTCTCTCAAAATAATGCATGCAAATGCCAAAGGCCACCATATAATTTTCTTTTTGTATTGTCATGTGCGAAAACTATATTTTATTATTTTATTTTTAATTATCTTCACCATATACTTTTCAACAAAAGATCAGATCTTCCTTTCACATCCACTCTGTTAGTTCTCATACATCATTAAAGGATGAATAATTAGTTAATTCATTATTTGTCAACTCATAATCAGGTTGGATGCTGGGGAAATTACTATATTCCTAAAAATCTAGATTATGAAGAAACTTGGGTGACTTCCTCTAGAAACTATGCCCTATAACAATTCTGAAATGTTTTCAGATGCTTTAAAATCTACACAAGAAAGTCCTGAGTGACAGCTCAGAAGTTGGCTGTCTGGTTTGGTCTATCTTCCGGGGACAGTGTCTAGGTTTCCTTCTAGCTGGTTACTTGGGAACCAGTGTGAAGGTTTCTTTATCCCCCAGTGCCATAGAGAATTTTTCTTTGAAGAACAAAAGAAGCATGTATAAACTTTAATGAATCCTCTTCTAGCTTGTGGCTCAGAGGTGTGCCTCACTTAAGAGTCAGAGAACTAAAAACAAGCATATTTAGCCTCAGAAATCCTGGAAGTTCCTCTGTGGGGGAAATTTGTCTTACATAGTGTCTAGAATTTTCTTTCTTTAAATATGATCTAAAATGAAGCATTTAGTTTAAGAGGAAAATTCCCACCTCACTTCCAAGAATCATTGTTTTCCTATCACCCTTTGAAGTACTAAAAAGTTCACATGGAAGAATTATTGGGAGCATCTCTAATGGGCCAGTGCCATAGATTAGTTTTCTTATGGAAACATCTACTAAACTGACTGGACAAATCTACCATGTAACGAGTACATGATATTGTTAGCAGCTTTTTATTAAATTTAATTTTTGTTATCTTTAAGTAGTTCTACAAAGAAGGTTTCATTTAACAAAGTGGTTTATGAACACAATGCATCCTGATCAATGCCAGCCCTTCCACATTCTCACCCATTTCAACCTACCCTTTCCCTTACTTTTCTGCATTTTGTGGTATATACTCTCCCCTTTCCTCCTTTCATTTGTCTCCTTTCCCCTTGGCCTCACATTCCTTTTACATGTATAAGTTAGACTACATAAATAATATGAGCAATTAAGAAATAAAACACAATAATTTGGTATCAGTCTACATTCTTCAAACATACTCTTGCTTAGTTGCTGCCTTCAGCTGAACAGATGTGTCATTTCAGGTTTGGGGTCTGGTTTGTCATTCTAGCTGAAGACTGGAAGGAAAGTGTGAGAGGTAGACTATTTTTAAAATTTCTTCTCTTTCCTTTTTCTTTTTAAAATTTGGTACTGGTACTGGGAATTGGATTTAGGTCCTGGGCACTGTCCCTGAACTTTTTTTTTGCTCAAGGTTGGCACTCTACCACTTGAGCCACAACGCTACTTCTGAGAAGGAGATTTTTTTTTTTTGGGTCAGGTCGTGGGGCCTGAACTCTGGGCCTGGGCACTGTCCCTCAGCTCTTTAGCTCAAGGCTAGCGCTCTACCACTTGAGCTATAGTGCCACTTCTGGCTTTTTTTCTTATGTGGTGCTGGGGAATCGAACCCAGGGCCTCATGCATGGAAGGCAAGCACTTTACCACTGAGCCACCTTCCCAGCTCCCAAGGAGATTTTTTTAAGAGGAGAATTTTTTCTTTTAATTTTTTATTGCAAAAATAGTGTACAGAGGGGTTACAGTTACATGAATAAGGTAATGAGTACATTTCATATCAAGCGTTGTTAAAGAGGAGATTTGAAATCAGGAATCTAATCCCTATTTCCTTTTTATTTTGGCCATTAAAGTTGAGGTTTCAGAAGATAGATAATAAAATTTGGTGTCATCTCTAATGATCCTGTAGTGAGTGTTAGGTACATTCAGCATGTGAGGGCAATTTGTCATTCTGTTTCCTGGTGAGATTATTCATCTTTATCCTTTATCCTTCTTCTTCTGGGTTTCTTTGGATTTTTTCATTTTGGGGAGAGGATTTTTTTTAAAAATTATCTTTTTTTTTGAAAAAAATTTATTGTAAAGATACTGTACAGAGGGGTTACAGTTACATGAGTAAGTTAATGAGCCAATTTCCTATCGAGCATTGTTACCCCCTCCTTTGTTTTCTCCTACTACCCCCTAAAAATTATCTTTAAGTAGTTGTACAAAGAAGTTGCCATTCAACAAAGCAGCTTATGAAAATAATGCCAATTAATCATTGTCATCCCTTCTAACATTCTCCCCCACCTCTCCCAATCCGCCCCTTCCTTTCTTTTTCTTAATTTTTAGGTTATATATTAAAATTTTGACATTTAACAAACCAGTTTATCTATACAATGCACCTAGTTCTGTGTCATCCCTTTAACATCTTCACATCCAGATCCCCTGTCCCATCCCTTCCCTTCGTTTTCTCAATTAAGTGGTATATACAATGCATCATTTTTGCCTGCATTCTACTCCTTTCTCCCTTCATTCTTCTACCTGTCCCCCCTTGCCTACTCCCTTAAAAGTACTAAGTTTTTGGTACTTATTTTGTTAGGCTTTGACTTAGGATTTAAAAAAAAAGACATTCTATGATTTTTGAAGGCATATTTGGTAATAGACTGAGCAAATTCTCCAGTTTTCCAGGTCAAAGGAATTCCTGGCAGTTAATGGCGCTAAAGTCTGTGAATACCCAGACATTGTGAGTCACTGGTCACTGTAAGGTCAGCTGACCTTCTTCCTGAGGAGCATGGGCTGACATTCAGAATGAGGTTTTATTTTTAATATCTGTTTTTGCTTACTTAATTTTTTTTATTTTTGTTGTAAAGGTGATGTATGGAGGGGTTACAGAATTTAAGTCAGTAATGAGTACATTTCTTTTTGAGCAGTGTCACCTCTTCCTTCTCTTTCTTACCCATTTTCCCTCCTGACCCTCATCCCCCGTATGTTGTAGAGTTCATTTTCAACATAGTGTCTAGTGAGAATCACTGCTGAATTAGTTTATCCTTTGTCCCACCATTTCTGTGCTCATCCTTACCCTCCCCCAAGCAGATAAAGTTACATTCAAGACAAAAGGTTCTGGGAACAAACACAGTGACAAAGGAGGAAAACCAAAACCAAAACCAAAACAATCCAAAACCTCTTGTTTCCATTTCTTGGAGTTCACTTCAACAAACATCATTTTAAATGATCATCTGCACATAGCTATTGAGCCTTTGTGATCCTCTCCTATGACTATTTTCCTTTGGTCTCGCTATGTGAGTGTCTAGAGTGTATCTTGTTCAAGTGTATTTTTTTGATCTTTTACCATCCATTGTGTTTACTTGTAGATTCATAGACACATTTTAGTTACAAAAAATGAGGGAAACCATGGAACTTATGTTTATTTGGGTCCAGCTTATTTCACTTAATATCATTTTCCCCAAGTATCTCAATTTCCTTATGAATAGGGCAATCTCATTCATTCTGATGGAAACATAGAATTCCATTGTGTATATATATCACATTTAGAATGATATTTTAAATAGAAGAAAAAACCAACAAGTAGTTTTAATGACATGAGACTATCTCACCAATACTTACTAAAAGAAGTTATAGGTTTAGCATACTTTTACTTAAAAAATGTTGACGAAATATTAAACAAGTGCTATTAATAAAAACAATGTGTAACTCATTGAAGAAATACATTCACTAAAAGATTTCTACAGGCATCATTTATTTGCTACAGATATAAAGTGTAAATAAAGCATATGATTCTGCTCTTTCTAATGCCAACCAGTTGTTATTTACTCTGAGGAGTAAATGCTGTATCTGGAGGCAGACACTGCCAGCAAAGATAGATTTCCACTCAAGGTATGCTTTCATATTTCTAGTCAGACTGAGGAGTCTGATGAGAAGGCTAGAGCAGCAATCACATGGACTGTGTTGAGAGCCTTACCGGGTCTGTTTTGTTGAAGAGGCACACCGCTGGTGGGGCTTCCTGATATTAGAAACACAGGAGGCATCTGGCGTGAACATGATCCAGATACAAGCGACAGAGACCAACTGGAAAGCCAAGACCATGTCTTCTAGAAAAAAGGACTCGTGTAGATGTCACCCAGTTGCTATCAAGATTTCTTCCTCATGTGTTTTTTTTTTAAATTAAACAGAATGCCAGGTAGAAAGTATGAAGGAAAAAAAAAGAGAAATTCTTTCTTCAATTGTGTTTGTTGCTTTAGTAGATTAAGGAAGAGGTTACAAGACGGGCAGGCCTATATCTCTAAATCCTTGGCGAGTTCAGGAAAATAAGGCAGAATTTCCCACGTTTAATTTGCGTCTCTTTGTCCATCTTTCCGGGGAAGGTTTCAGTAAGATGCGGATCTCCTCCTCAGTAAACCGCGGTTCTCAGCAGACAAATGGTGAGGCTAGGCATTAATCCTCTTAAGCCCGTGCAATATTATTTGAATCTATTTAATGACTCTGTAAAATAATATGCTTAATGAGTAAAAGATGATTCATTTAATCTTAATTATGTATTTGAAGACCTTTTATCTCACGAGTTTTTTTTTTTTTAAATCCAGATTTCTGGGCTTCCCCACCCCTTCCCAAAGCATCAGATTATTTAAGCATGTATTAAAAAATATGATTTCTTTTCAGGGAAACAATTATACAGTAAGATGATGATTAATTCCATTGGTAACAAAATGGCTCAGTTTAAGGTTCAATATCACAATATAATAAGCAATGTGATAAATAAAGTCTTTGATGTTTGCAAAGCACATACTGTCCCTGTTAAACTTAGGCTTTACAAGCTGATAAATATCCTTTGTCTAAACAGAGTAGAAACACCCTATGGGAATATTCCTTCCACTTCTGCAAGGAGCCTCTGAATGGACATGTCAGTGAGGCTAGGCTTCTCTATCTGGAGCATCACAGGGCGGGCAGTACAGGGACAGGTGACCTTCATACTAGAACCGAGGGAAAAAAGTATTACTTTCCAGTATTGTAAAGGAAGTACTTACATTTTCTTAAATTGGTTTGTGTGCTTGACGCTTTTTATTTCATATTATTCCTTTGCCATATTAACTTATTTTTAAATTAGAGTTATTTTCTCGTAGTCATTGTGTCTAAACCCTTCACCTGGGGGCTGGGAAGGTGGCTCAGTGGTAGAGCGCTTGTCTTGCATGCATGAGGCTCTGGGTTTGATTCCTCAGCACTACATAAGCAAAAAGAAAAAATCCAGAAGTGGTGCTGTGGCTCAAGTGGTAGAGTCCTAGCCTTGAGTTGAAGAGCTGAGAGACAGCGCCCCGGCCCAGAGTTCAGGCCCCATGACTGGACCCAACCCCCCCCCCAAAAAAAAACCCCAAACCTTCACCTGTTCTTTAGGTATTTTTCCCCCTCTATTTCTTTTGAAGTTTGAACTTAGGTCTTCACGGTAGCTAGGCAGGCATTCTTCCACTACGAAAACACTTCTATCCCACCTTTTCATCTTTGATAGTTTTGAGACAGGCTCTGACTGACTTGGTCAATCTGGACTGTGGTCCTCCTATACTCAGGCAGACAGGCATGCACCACTGTGTCTAGCTGTTGGTTTAGATAGGGTCTCACAAACCCATGTGTAAGAGCAAATGTCTAGAGTGAAATTTGCTCTCTGAACCACCTTTATATGTTCAAATATACTAAATACCATCACATTTCCCATGAAAGTGCTTGTTTAAATTTACTAATCCACTAGCAGTGAGAGTCATCATTTCTTTCTTTTCATTTTCTCTTACGCTTTCTTTTTTTCTTTCTTATACAGTCTTGCTTTGTATCCCAGGCTGTCTTCAAGCTCTAGTTTCTACAGCTGCTTCTACCTGCAGAGAGCTGGGATTATAGGAGTAGAACACCATGACAGCATACTTAGCATGAACGTTTTCATTTCTTAAAACCTTCCCCCCCTTCCCCGCTCAAGACTTAAAAAAAACATTAGTGTTACTTATCTTTTGAATATATCCCATCTCAATACGTGCTGTAGTTTCCCCTAAAGCTAGAGAAGTGTAGGAAAGTTTTCATGTTTTTTTGGGGGGCAGTATGTTTTTTTAAAAAAATAAAAAGCCAATTGATGGAATATAAGAAAAGTTACTGGTTTTAAGTTTCCAACTCTTTGGCTGCCAGATTTGTATGTTATCGCTATACTGTGATCAAGGTTTTAATGTCTTTTACCTCCATGATGCCAGGAGATTCAGAGCTCAGACCTTTGGTTCCTGAGGCTCTGTGAGGCTTGAATCACTCAGCACCCAGTACCACGATTTCCCAAAACAGTTCTTGGACTATACCAGGAATGTTTTGTGAAAATGCTTTCTGTGCACTCAAAGTCTTAAGTCTATAATGAAATATTGGTAGCTGTCAAAGAACGAATAAGACAACAAGAGGGACTTCTTGCAGCTAGTTTAACCTAAGGAATGAACTCATTTGGAGCTGCTCTTATAGGACTCAGAGGAGCTATTATGAAGGGGAGCTTCTTTATTTTTATCTGTCAATTCATGGGCTCTTGCTTTCACTTATGTTCTGTTAGGATGGAGGATGATGATCCTTTTGCATCCAAGAGATAAATCAATAATGAGAATCCATCTGACCTGTTTACTGAATCATCTTTTCTATACCAGTTAACCATACGAGTATATCAACATTAAGGGAGAAATAAAGAGCTTATTTTTGTGGTGATGTATTGTAAGTAGGAAATGGTTTGAACAAACATAGAAATAAGGCAATGGCTTAGGCTAGAAAGAGTTGGCTCACAGGCAATCTTAGGGTTTTATTTCAATTACAGTAAAGCATCTGTCTCTGTTGATGCTCCTCCTAACCTCATCCCTTTGGTGCTTTTCCTTTACAAGCCCTGTAAGCTTCTTAAGGAAGAAGCAGAAATCCACATCTGTCAAAATTAAAAACGTGAAACTACCAGGGAATGGAATGAATCATAGAGTCCCTGGAGAACCCTGCCATAGCCTTAGCCCTCCCTGACATAAATGGCTTCCAGGTCAATCTTCTACTCTAGTGATGCCAGCTACATCCTATTCTTTTGGCAAGGACATGAGGAGACAACTGGATAGCATGGCTGCATCCCCAAATCCCTGTCTTGGGGTATGTAGCTATTGTGTTACCTATAGAGAGAAAGTAAAAGGAACAAGAGGGAACCAGTGCAAAAACAATATTCACCAGACAATATGTTAGAAAATATCTGTACAATTTGGTTGGGGGAAGCGATTGGGAGGAGGGAAAATAGGAGAAAAATAAGGGAAGGGGTAACAAGTTTGACAAGAAAGGTACTTATTACCTTACTTATGTAACTGTAACCCCACTGTACATCACCTTGACAATAATATATATATATATAATTTTAAAAAGTAGAAGGAAAGCTAAAGTCTCATTTAGATGAGAGTAAGTATATCAGACAACAAAAACAGATGCCCAGCCACCAGAAGTCTCCATTGTGCCTGCAAGAAGTCACCTAGGCAAAATATGGACATTGTAGAGTCATATCAAGTTTATAGAGAGGACCTTTGAAGATCATTGAGACCATTCTTACCTCCTTCCCTCTCTCTTTAGGTATAGTCAGCCATCAGTGTTGTTGCAGATAGCTCTTAAACTCCTGAGATATAAAAATCCAAGGATGCTTGAGTTGCTTATTTTTTAAAAGGCATTGTATTTGCATATCATATGTATACATTTTCCCTCTACCTTCAATTGAGCCTAGGTTTCTTATAATACACAATACAATGTAAATACAGTGTAAATAGTCATCACCTTGTACTGTGGAAAATAATGACAAGTGCAACTTCAATACAGACTGGCTGAATTACAGATGTGGAACCTGCAGATGTGTAAGACAGACTGTATGAGGAACTTGGATGTGAGAAGGTCAATAATCGAAACATTCAGTTTTGTTTTAAAATTTGCTTCAGAAGTGAGGTTTAATTGTGCTTTGGAATATGTACAATTAGCCACGACAAGAACCACCCCTAGTGGACAGTTTGCTGTCCGCTCACTCAACAAGGACTCTTGTTTTCTTGAATTACTGTAGCTCCAGTATATCTTTACTTCATGCTGCCCTTCTTCCATTTCCCTCTTACACGAGTCTTGAAATACAGACCAATTGTGATATGAATGGAGCCACTGTTATTGACAAGTTTAGTGGCCCTGAAGCAAAGCTAGCTTTATTATAGTATAATCGCACATTTGAACCACAAGATGGCACTATAGGACATATGATCCCATCTTGAGTCTAGGAGCTCTGTTAGGGAAAAAAAAAGCTACCAAGTACTGTATAATTTGTACTTAACCAACGTAGGCAAATGAAAAACATAATGACATAATGTCAAATGATTCAGGAAAAAGACAGATAAAAACTAAATCCTGTTATGAGAAAAAGGAAAATTTCACCTTAAATAATTGACTGTTCTAAACACATTTCAAAGGTTTCATCTGCTATGTATTCCAAGAACAGTACTTTATCTCTAAGTGCTTAGAATTAGAGGTGAAAACAGTGGAATATAAGCTTTCAATCAACCTGAAGAAGCTGTCACAAATAACGTTGTAAAGTGACACTAAGAAGGCATTGGGAAACGCAATTCTGGCACTGGATATTGCACTTTCTTTTTCTTTGAATACTTTAATAGCTCTCAACATAACATTTTCATACCTTTAAGTAAGTAGTGTACTGTGATCATATGACTCTTGCATTACCCGTTTGTTCCTCCTTACCCTGCCAAATAGTCTGCTTTCTACTCTCCTATCTTTTTGTATATCTAGATTTCATAGAAGAGAATCGTATAGTATTTTTGTTTCTGCATTTTGTATAATTTGTTTAAGATGCACTCTGGTCCCATCCATTTTTCTGCAAATATTATAGTCATTCTTTGTGACTGAATAAAATCTCATTGTGCATATATGTGATGTTATCCTTCATCTCTTGTTGTGTAGAGATGCTGATTTCACACCTTGGCTATTGTGAATAATATGGTAATAAAGATGGACGTGCAGAAACTTTATTTTGTGTTCAATAAGATGAATTGTATTCATATACTGTTTTGTTAATTGTACAA